AAGGGGCCAGGTGTGGTGGGGCATGCCTTTAATCCCAGCACTCAGGAGGCAGAGGCAGGCAGATCTATGTGAGTTCAAGGCCAGCCTGGTCTACATAGTGAGCTCCAGGCCAGCTGGGGCTTCAGGAAGACCCTGTCTCAGAAAAAAATAAATAAATAAATAAAAAACTAGCTAAGGGCACAGTGTGGGCATGAATTCTGCAGCCCTCTGCCTGCTTAGGAGTAAGATAACCATCAGAATAAAACCATCCTGGCCCATAAGGCTGAGAACACACAGCTTCTGACGGGGCTTTCTTATCCTCATTGTCCAGAGTCCCTAAAGGATCCATGAGGCCATGTGGGGTGTGAGGAAGAAGTCCTCGGGTAGGCTGCTTGTCTCCCATGAGGGTCAGAAGAGCTCTAGGACTGGAGTTTGCCCTCTCAGCCAGGGTGACCTTCTCCTCCCTGGCCTCAGTCTGGCCCTGCACAGTGGGGCCCTTTCTCGCAGTTTGTGAAGGATTAGATAAGAAACGCCCAGAATGTGCCTGAATCCCCAGGAAACTGTCCCACAAGGAGAGTAGCCGCCCTGTGTGAAATAGGTTCTTCCAACCCACTCTGAGCACCAGCTCAGACAATGTCTTTCCTTCCCTATGCGTCCATCACCATCTCTGTGTCACAGGGAAATTAGGAGTGACATTTGCAGATGATGATACTATGTCACTGGGCCTCTGGGCCTCCCTTGTGTAAAATGAGGCTCTCTACTACCAGACTCCCAAGGAATTATGACACAAATGCTTATTAAGCAAATATATCAACCACCTTTTAAACTGATATAAAATCCAAGAGGACAGCTCAGCTGCAGCCTGCTGAGGGTCAAGGACAGGAGTTACATGAGGGTAACTGCTGTCAGTCCCTCGGGCTTTCTTACTGTTCAGTTCAGAGACCCTGAACTGGTGGCCCTGAAGCTGGTCTGTCCCCTGGGGCCACCTTGGCCATCCTGGGAGGATTAGTACAGCCTGGCGCCAGGGAGATCATCTGGGCTTAGTATCCAAAAGGCCCTTTGTCTAGAGCTAGGGCATGTGGTGGGTATGGCCGAAGGACATCTAGAGTCCCTGGGAAGTCACTCACCCTGAAGGTGACCCAGCCACGCAGGGAGCCAAAAGTGTGTACTGGGTCACACAGGGCCTGCTGAGATAGGAAACAGCCTCAACTCCACCATGGACCCCTCCCTTCAGCACTGCTCCCCTCAGGAACAGCCATTTCATGGGGGGCTACTCACAGGGGCCCCCTTTGTGCCCTGTCCTATTCTCTACCCTACAAGTAGAGGTTCAAAGCCTGGGCTCTGGAGATGCAGAGGGTGGGAGCTGAACTCAAATCCTGACTTTGTCACTACCTATATAACATTGGCTTATAACTTAATTTCCCTGTGCCTCAGTTTCCTCAACAATTCCTAAAAAGCAGGGCTAATTCAAGAAGTTGATGACATAAGAAACCCAAATTACATAGAACTATACCTGGTCCTTAGTGTGTAATAAATAGCATCACAGCCAGGTGTGGCGGCACATGCCTTTAATCCCAGTACTCAAGAGGCAGAGGCAGTGGAATCTCTGTGAGATAGAGGCCAATCTGGAGTTAGAGGGAAACCCTGTCTTAGTAATTAATTAATTAATAATTAATTAATTGATAGCATAACAATGAATGGCCCTGGCTTTAGAATTAGGTCAACAGCATCTTGTTTGAGGCACAAACTTTCTGCTTCTACCACTTAATCCCATTTCTCAGAGCCTGCATTTCCTAATTGTAAAATAAGTATGCACTGTCAGACCTTCCATTACTGTGACAAAATACCTGGGGAAAGCAACTTAAAGGAGGAAGCATTCCTCTTAGCTCATGGTCAAAGGTTTCAGTGGTTAGCTGCTTTTAGGCCTGTAGCAAAGGCATGGAGGAGGAAATCTGTTCACCTCAGAAGGCCAGGAAGCAGAGAGGGCAAGGGAGGAGGCAGGGACAAGGTATACCCTTCAAAGGCACAGCCCCAGTGGCCGACCTCCTCCAACTGGGCCCAGCTCTGAACCTATCTGTGGACTAAGACTAGTCACCCTGTGACCCAGTTACCTCTCAATAGCACCACAAGCTAGGGATCAGGCTTCAACACGTGGGCCTGGAACAGCATGGAAACCCCCACCAATTCTAGGCACCATGGAATTCAATGCCCTGTGGAATGGTAAGTGTCTGGCATGGTATCCAGTATATAGTAAGTGCTTGATACATGTGTGCTCCCGCACTCACACATGGCCACAGAATTCACTATGATTCAGCTGACTTTGTCCCTGACTTTGAGGAGTTCTAGGTCAAGTACAAGAATAAGACCAGGGTAGGGACCATCAGATGGATACAGCCCTGGTCCTGCCTGCCACACAGCCACAGACCCTGAGTACCCCATGGGTGGGGGAAGGGGTGCTAGCCCACCTCAGGGAGAAACTCTAGGGAGAGGTTTCAGATAGCCATGTAAAGCTGGCACAGGTTATGGTTCACTCACACATGCCAGCTCCTCTCCTAGCACCTGACAAGGGCTGACTGCTTAGCCTTCCAAGGACCCAGATAAGAACCATAATGTTCCTGTGTCACAGACAAGCACCTCTGTGGACTGACTGTGTTCCCTGTGTGATGGGGCTTGGAGGTAGGTAACACGATGGGCTTCTAACGTGTTGGGTTTGTGGGGTTCCAACCTCATGGATAGATGAGTGCCATTCCAGTAGAAATGAGGATCCCTCCCCCGCCCCCCCCCCCCCCCCGTCTGTTTGCCATCTTCTTTCTGTTTGGTACCACGGGATGAAACAAAAAAAACCCAAGCCAACACAGGGCCCTTGGTCTTTGCCGGGGCCCCCCCCCCCCCCCCCCCCCCGCCATTGTCTGTTGTCCATTGTCTTTCTGTTGGGTACCATGGGATGACACAGCAAGAACTCCAGCAGATGCTGGCCCCTTGGTCTTGGACTTCTTAGCCTTCAGAATCGTGAGTCATTAAATTCCTGTTCATTGTCACTCGGCCAGTCTTGGGTATTCTGTTACAGTACAGCAAAGCACATGGGGCCAAAACAGAGCCAAAGGCCAAACAACTCAGGTTTTTCAGGCAGCAGCAGGAGGCTGCTTGGACTGCCCAGTGGGAATTGGATGATTTCCTGTTGTCACTGAGGACTATCACCAAGGGTTGTCAGGGACAGTGAGACAGTCAGATGCCATGGAGAAGACCCCTCATGCTGTGAGGGACAGGGGTTTTGAGGCTTCAGGTGGAGGAAGGAGTGGGTAAAGGCTGGAAAGGGGAGGGACAATGCCACAGACACATGGCAAGGGTACGTCTTATTCATGAGGCCTCATCCTGAGTGTTACTTCAGCTCTCCCGTTACTGTTTCATCCTTGTAGAAATGAAATGGCCTGCCCGGGGACATGCCACTAGCCAGTAGCTGGGGTGGGCCTGAACATGGGCACCCATAGAAGCACCTCATTTCTGCACTTAGGAGTCATGAGACACGGAAGAGAGGAGGAAGGTAAACCTGACATGCCCCTCAGCATTGCAAAGGCATATGCCAGGTGGCAGGGCCAGGGATGTGGGGGAGGGAGAGGGAGGAAAAGGGAGGGAAAGAGGGAAGGGGAGAGAAGGAGACAAATGGGGAGGTGAGTGGATGGAAACATGAACAGGTCTTCAGGTAGTCTCCAGTCCTCCTTGGCTTGACCCTTGCCCCAGATGCTGAATCAGTTACCAGGACTTCTTTGGCTCCTATGGGCTCAGAGCCACCCATAAGTCCTATGGGCCATTTTTCACCAAGCTCGTTTTCAGAGGAGGTGGAGTGGAGCCCAGGACCAAAAGGCAAGACCCCAGTGTTTCTTCCCATCTAAACTGCTGTGTGGCCTCAGACCAGCCAGGTCTCTCTCCAGCCTCAGTTTACCTACCTGCCCTACCATGGTTAATCTTGATTGTGAACTTGATTGGGTTGAGTGGTGACTAAACGATTTTTTAAAATCTTTTTTAAAACAAGAACACTTGTTCTGTGTGTTTATGAGAACTTGTCCAGGATTAACTTTATGAGGGCTTGTCCAGGATTAACTCAAGGAGGTACACACCCTGAAGGTCAGTAGCATCTTAGACTGGAGATGATGTCCCAGGCGGACAAAATAAGAAAAAGAAAGCTCACAGCACAGACACTCCCTCCCTCTGCTTCCTGGCCTCCATGGTAAGCAGCCTCCTCTGACACACACTCCTGCCACCATGATGTCTGCCCCAGCTCTAGTCCATAGCAATGGAGCCAGCCCGCGAGACTGAAACCATGCGCCTAAAGAAGTCCTTTAAACAATGTCCTTAAGATATTTGTCACACTTAAATAAAGTTGACCATCACATTTGTCAAGAGCATTTGACACAGCTCTCCTGTTTTGGAGGCATCCTTGTCTCATCCTCAGTCAATGGGGGTCTCTCCAGGGCAGGGCTGAGCCCTGCTTCATAGTGTGCCAACTTCTTTTCTCCCTAGAAAACTCCTGTGTATTCTTCAAAATTCCGAGATGTGTCCAAAACACCAGGAGAGATGGAGTCGGAGAGATGGAAAGCAGAATAGGGACCAAAGGCTTCCCAAGCCAGCCAGGTAAGTTTGGGACTCAGCACTGCATTGGCCAGACTCCAGGCCCCTTTACCTCCCAAGTGCTCTTGCCTAGAACCAGGGAGGTCATTGGAGTTGGAGGCCAAGGATGCCTCTGTGTTACTAGGGAACAAACCAGCCAGCAGGCACAAGACTAAGATTGGTTTATTGAAGCTAAGGCTAAACTGGGGTGCTGTGTGCTCTCTGAAACAGACCTATAGTTGCCCAACTGCCCTTAATCCAGGTAGGTAGAGACACAGAACTAGAGGATATGGTGGGACTGGGTCCACAGGGAGCACTGTCACCAACCTAGGCTAGAGACCCAGAGGGAAACTGAGGCAAAGTGTGCAGGCAGACAGGACTCTGCAGTGAACAGGGAGGGCAGCAACCACACTGCTTCAGGGTGCCACAGTCAGCACAACGGCATTCTGCAAGGACAAGGGTTCTCATTAGCCCTCCAAACCTCGCACCCCACATCCCTGCCTCACCCATGCCTGGCACCTGTGCCCTGTAGTTGCTGCTGTACCTGAAACCCAGCAGGCATTCATTAAATGAATGAGTGGGCGAGCCAGTGACCAATAAGGAAATGGTGAACAATGTGGTTCAGATTGCTAACTCAGAAAAGTTTGAGACCAGAACTTTGAAATTTGACATTTGATTTCCTTAGCCTTCATCCTCACCTGAATAGTGGGAAACTTTTCCTGCACACCTTCCAGAGCTTTTCCAAGATTCAAAGTGTGCTGATTCGAACAGAACTATGACCAGAAAAGTGCCATGATCTATTAGCCATGTCTGCCACCGGCACAAGATGAGGAAAGGCTAACACAAGTATTTGCTACCCATGAACTGGGGAAATCTGATTCTGCGGTTGTCAGAAGTTCCTTCTACAGGTAAGACACTCAATAAGAAGGAACTCTGTAATTGATTAATAATGTATTCCTTAGGCAAGGAAGGACTATAAACATATGCACTATATATTTGCTATTCCTAAGATAACGTGATTTATGATTCTCTGAGCAATTTAGAAATAGTGCAGAGACAGGCCATAGGGTGAAGTCCCTCAAGAGTGTCAAACAGGGCTCTCCGGGCACAACTATAAAGCCTGTCTGGGGTCCATCTAGCCCATTTGCAGGGGAAACTCACATCAATGATGTCTACTGCCGAATTGGAAAAATTGATGTTGAGAATCTTGGGCAGGGGAATTCCAACCTCCAGGTGCTCTGTGAAGAGAGAATTGTTGGGAACAATGTAAGGATGCCTCTGACCCTAGGAACCTTCAGACCCTGATGACTTTATCTTTCCACTCTCTTTGAAGCAGCCATTCTCCCCTTGGGAACTCAGCTTCTTATTAGCAAACTCCTATTCATCCTACCATACCCAAAGAAAACAAAACAATACAAAAAATTTCTTTTCTATGTTATGTCTGTGGCTCCCCTTCAGTAACACCTGCTAGAGGAATCAGTGCCTGAGTCCTGTGTCATTTCTGATCTAGCCACTGGTCGACATGTTTGTTTCCCAATGGACCATGGACCCTTAAGCAGGACTTGGGTAAGGTCAGCTCTTGAGGCTCAGAGGGCATGATGTGGGTGCTGGTCAGTGTTGTGTGAGTGGAAATGGGTACCTCGGTTTCTGCATCTTACAAATGAGTATGGACACCTCTCTGGCCTCATCAAACCAGGGAGAGAAGAACTAAGCAGACATACCATTGAGCTTTGGCACATAGGCAGCCCGGAGCACATCACTGAGCCATTCTTCCAGATGGGATGCCTGCAACAGGGATGGAGTGGGAGGGGCTTCATGGGGCTCTGACCCATCCCCATGGAGGGAAACTGGGGCCTGGAAGCCTCCAGCAAGGTAGAGGACACAGTTCCAGGCAGGCAACAGGTTCCCAGAGCTGGGCTGGCCACCAGAAACATCAAAAACAAATCTGATTGTTCAGGCTTCACCCTTAGCCCAGGATCCTGGAAGAAGTTGCCTTCTAGAAGATTCTGTGGGGACTAGTTGTGGATAAAGGTGCCTGATAAAGGGGAAAGGAAGTGTGCCCAGTTGCAGCAGAACTCTGTGAAGTCTGACATTAAGTTCCTGACAGTTTAGGAGTCCATAGAATGTTTCTAGAACCTGATATCATCATGAGATTCAAGAACCTCAGAACTCTGTAAGAAACGGGAACCTCAGGGCTCTGTGGGGTCCTGATATGCTAGAACCTTCTGAGTTCAGGACTTTTGCAAGCTTCAGAATTTAGATCTTGGTGAGGTTTTGGACATTTTGGAAGAGCATGAGATTGGCTTTCCTAAAATGAACTCTGATACACACACACGCGCGCGCGCGCGCACACAAGCACACCCATCCTGATGTTTGCCTGCTCTGGTCTGCTGGGGCTTAGCCCACACTGAGGCCAAACCCATACCAAGGCAGTTATGACCATGACTCAGCCCCAACTCCCCATCCCAGAAGGTCTCAACCCCTGCTAAGCTCCTCCTTCCCAGGAACTTACATCAAAATGTTGGGAAATAGAAGCAGCCAACTGGACACTCAGCCTGGCAGAGAGAAGAGAAATGTTGAAGGTCTGGCTGCCCCTCACTCCCTACCCAAAGTTGTTTGGCCTAGCCTACCCCAACCCACTCTAACCATAGTTTTCCAGAGACAGGAAACAGAGCTCAGGCCCAGCTCATCTCTATCCAGCCTTGGCTGAGGGACTTTATTGTCCTACCTGCGAAATGGACTGGGGGACTTCACCTCCCATCTGAGACATCACAGCCTCATCCTGGGGTTCTGTGGAGCCTTGGTCTGACTCCCAGATGTCTGGGTGAATGAGTGGCCTTTCCCTAGCCTGACACTGTACATAGAGCACCCTGCATACAGCAGGTACTCACTAATGGAAGTCAGTGTACACCAATAGACCTCAGTTGGCCAAGTGCAGTTCAGAATGAGCCAAGGCCCCCATCTTCATCTCATGAACTGCCACTAGGAGGCAGTGGCGACCAGGCAGTAAGCCTGGTGGAGGAAGAGGGCATCACGGATCCATGGGGGCCTGAGGTGTGCACTGCTATGCAGCCAGGTGCACAGTGGCTCAGGACAGAGACACCTGCAACTGCGGCAGGGGACAGAGAGGCCTTGCCATGCCAGTGCACCTGCTGGACATGGAGCCCCAGACCACAGGCCCACTGTGTAAGTGTGAGTCAGTGTGCTTTGCAAACTGTAAAGTGCTGTGCTGGGATAAGTGTGTGTGAGGAGGATGAGCTTCCACCTTCATCTCAGCTATTTGGATCCTCCTGAAACCTAGTTACCATGGGATGGGAGATGAGAAATCTAAGGAGTCCAGGGTAGGCAGAAACATCTTCCAGGACTCTAAGACTCCTGTCCCTATGGTCAGCCTTAGGCTGATGACATGCAGGTTCAGCTTCCGTGTCCTGGATCAGGCTTGCCTCTAGAGCCAGGCTCTGAGCAGAGGGAACAGTGAAGAACTTCACATATGGTCACCTACTCTGAGCCCTGCTGCCTCATCAGTGTGGTGGCCACCACATCCCCTCCCGTAGCCCCTGAAGAGGGATGAGCGGCTGGCTTCATGATGCTCACAAATGCTGGGTGGCCCCTGCTTAGCCAATCCCTGACTCTGTCCCCAGGACCCCACACTACCGTTCCAGGGACAGGGACACATGTAGCTTGGTGGTAGACGGAGACAGCTGGGAGTTTAGCATCAGAACCTGAGGGAAAAAGCAGGCAGACATTATTCCTGACTCAGCCTGGTTGCCAGGTGAGCCTCTGACCATTCCTGCCATAGGCCACAGTGGTCCTACTGTGTGTCTGGAGCTGTCTGGGCTCTGGGGGTGCAGAAGCTTGGAGGAGGAGCAAGGGGAGGCTCTCTAGTAAAGGGTACCTGAGCTAACCTAGATAGACAGCTGAGAAGGGGCCAGGGCAGGCGGGAAGGGACTGTGAGACAGGCCAGTCACAGGAGTAAGGCAGGCTGTGACAGGCAGGCAGAGGCCAGGGGGTGGCAGTTTCCCCAGGAGACAGCGAAACAGAAGCAGGATAAGAGGGAGCAACTCCAGGGAGGTTTGGGGAAACAGAATTGGCCTGTCAGGCCAGGGGAATATTAGGGGCTGTCATTAAGCTAGGTGGTGCTTGGGCCTAGTGCAGAGATGATAGGAGCTGCACTGTACCACATGGGGCTCCCTTCCCATCCCTCAGCCACTCACCCCATTCAGCTGGAAAAGGGCTACAGGAGTTCCTTGAGGGACAGAGGACAGCACATGGATGGTGGCCGGGATAGAGACGGTGGCCTTCTTGCTCTGCAGTAGGACCATGGGTGCTTTCGTCACCCTCAGTGACAGTAGGAGGTTCTGCCCAGGGGGCAACTTCCCTAGGGCCTGAGAAAGAAAGAGAAGAGCACGGTGCATGAAGGCAGCTGCAGTGTTAGAATCAATCAGTCAAACACTCACAGGGCATCTCCTGGGTACCAGGCACCATGCTAGTCTGTGAGGTTACAGCCTGACCTCGGATAGCAGGAACTTTGCCTCATCAAGGTTGCAAGACCCTAACCCGTGGAGCTACCAAATCAGACTATGTCTCAGAGAGAGGCAAAATCCTCCCCAAGGAAGCTGGGCACAGTGGTGTATACCTGCAATCCCAGTACTCAGGTGGCAGAACCAGGGAGATCAGAAATTTGAGACCAGCCTGGATTACGTGAGGCTGTTTCAAAAGCAAAACAACAAAAATGTTCAAGCACGGAGACCCTGTTTGGCAGGTCCTCTCCCCTCCTTGTCACCTCCCCCACCCCTGCTGACTTAAGCGCTCCTCTTTCAAGACTAATTGGGAATAACTGTGCAGACCTGAGGCAGCAGTGTGGGTCAACCGGGCCAGAGGAGCAACAGAGGGACCAGCGTGAGATAGGTGCTCCTGCCACCTGCCGTCTCTGGGCCTTTGCACTTGCTACACCTTGTTTCTGGAAATTCTTCCCTGGGGGAATCACATGGCTTCTCTCACCTCCTCCAGCACCTCACCTTAGGGTTTCCCTTGGGAAAACAGCCCATGCCCCAACTCTGTCGCCAGCACTGCAATATTTGCTGCCCCCACCAGCATCACACCCTCAGAGCTCTGGGCTTTAATCCACCTGCCACCCTTTGCTCCAGGCCTGGTATATAGTAATGCTCAGTGGCAAGAAGCACACAGTAAGCCCATTCTGAGTCTCCTAGTCACATCATGGCCTTCAAGAAACAATGGAATCAGGACCTCACAGTTGCTTAGAACATGCACAGTCCTTAGGATACCTGCATACTGGAAACTGGAGGGTCAGTGCCTCGAGCCCTGACTCCCCAACTTACAGAATCATCAACATGGAGAATCTCGAGATTCCACCCTTGAGAGTTCCCTGGACCTGAAGTCGTGGAACCAGACGCCCCCTCATAGGGTGGGGCGATTGAGCTATGCAGTGGCCAAGGCCAGCAACTGGAGGCCGATCACTTCAGGCTCCAGAGCCCCGATTCAGTTCCCCATACTGGAGGGACCCAGATCAGCTGCACCCATGGGCCTCCCCACCACCTCTACCACGCAACCCATTTCCTTCTACCATCTGCCTTTAGGAAGGTCTCCTGGTCTAATCCCAGATTGCTTCCTTTCCTGAGCCTCCTCTACTCTTCAGCCCAGATACTCAGAGAAGTATAAGTCCCACCTTGAACCCTGAGGACACTGAATCACCCCCTTCAATGACTCACAGGCCTTGTCCTCCACACCCTAACTCAGGGGTTACCCGCATCCTCCTGTTCTTCTGTCCAACCCCTCTCAGACTGCTGCTACCTAAAACCCTGATAGTGGTCATTTCAACTTCAGTACAAATTCTGATTCTCACAGTTGGATGGTGATGGGTCTGATCTCATTTGAATTACTGGGGAGCTGGGTCCTGGGATCACATACTCGTGCCTACTATTCCCACCTCCCCAACTCCTGCCCCTTGCCTTTCCAGGACAGAGAAGATCAAGAGCAGCTAGAAGGACCACAGGGCCCAGTAACCTAAGTAACTCTCCTGTTCTCTGCTTGTTAGAGTAGCAGCAGCCATCGGACAGGTGCTCAGGTGACTCTAGGGCACCCTCTAAGCCAGTTGTTCTATCAGTAAAGGATGTGGTGTTAGTCTCTCATGCTTTTGTGTGAATTCGGACTCAACTTCAATTGCAGGTCCCTGGAGAGCCACCCTGGAAAAGATTCTGGGGTCCATTCAAGCTTGTGAGGAAAGAGCTACACTGGTGAAAACCCACAAGAGGGCCACTCACCTCGGGGGCCAAAGCTGCCAGGTCAGTAGTTGTCAGTGGGATATTCCTGGGAACCTGGATGTGAGAGCAACAGGAAGTGAAGTGAGCACCGAAGGAAAGGGATCCCTGGGGATGTGAGCCTGGTGGTTTGTCCGTCCTGCCTCCACTGACCTCAAATATGCCCATCAATTCCTAGCCTGTGACGGCTGAGCCTGTCTGTGCCTGTGTTGAGGGCTCTGCCTGGCTTCCCACACACAGTCCACACAGCAGCTAAGCTGCAGGGCTGGCTGTTCGCACTTCACACACAAGATGCTAGCGCTTTTCCCCAGGGTCACCAGGCTAATGATGACCAGGTTGTGCAACTGGGCAGGCTGGTGTCGGGCCCCTCTTCATGCTGCCAGAGCCACATTGAAAAGTGCAGGATTGTCCCAGGCACTCTAGCCTGTTGCCCCAGTGGTCCTTTCACAAATATGACATTGTCCTGTCTTTATAAATCAGGGTGCTTCACATCAGTTTCTGGCTAAAATATTGGGGACTGTGGTCACAGTGGAACTGAGCCCTTACCCTTGCGGTAACTGGATGATGGTTCCCACAGTCCTACCAGGTTACTAAGCAATAGTAGCCCCACCTGACTGCACACACCCACCTGTCAGAACACTGTCTAAACTCTGTCCTAGGGCAGGTGTATTCATTCCCTGACTCAGATAACACACAATGATGATGGCAGCCTAAGATGTGGCCTCTCATCACAATGTTCACACTCAGAGCCATAGCCTTGAACCACTTAGAGATGTGTTCCCACCTGAAGACTCTGGCCTTTGCCTAGCTAAAGACATCTGTCTCTAAGCTCAGGACCCTGTTCAGCATCTCAGAGTCTACCTCCGTACCCTGGAGACCCTGCCTGCAAGAGGTGAGAGGCTAACACTCTTCTTTGGGTCTGAACCATAGGTAAGACCTCCAGGTAGCTCAGAGCTCACTGTTCAGGAGAGGACTAAGACCAAGAAAATGTTTCTGATGAGTCTTCAGGAGGTGGGGCCTTCTGAGCCACGGAGGCATAAAAGCAAGAAGGTTTCAGAAGCCCTGGAACAAAACATGGGCAAGTAACCTTCCACAAAGTCCAGCCCTAGTGTCCTTGCTCCGACTCAAATTTACTCTTGAGAAAGTAGAGGACGTGATGTTAATCATTCCCACTTTAATATAAAAACAGCTTAAGCTATCTTCTTTTTCTATGCCAGTTCTGACTGTTGGAAGTGGCTTCCTAGAGCACCCACTTTAGGACTCAGAGGTCCTACACAGGTTTAACTAAGTACAAGGTATGATGTGTTACTGACAGTGGGTGGCAGCGTGTACACCATCAACATGCTTAACTCTCTCTTACAGAGAAGAGTCTCAGCAGGGCTTCGTGTAGAGTGACAGTGGGACAGCACCACACCAGTCCTGCCGAGGCAGGGGCAGAGTCCCCACTCCACTCTTCATGTCCCACTTACCAGCTCAGGGGTGATGTCAAGGTCAAGGGCACCATTGGTCTGCAGGAGTCCAAACACAGTGCTGAAGAGGTAGAGGGGCACTGTCACCTGGGAGGTGTGATCCTCCTTGGGGGGCACCTCGACTGGGAGGCGTGGCTTGGGGAAATCAATGACATCGCCAGCTATGCTCTTCACGATGGGCTGTGGGGCAAGAGCCACACAAGGGGATCTGTGACTGCTCAGCTGTGCCCCTGTCTACCTCTCCAGCCTTCCTGAAGACCCAGCCACCCTGGCCTCCAGACACTCACGTTCACATCCAGCTCTATATACTGGTTGGAGATGAGGGGCAGTGTGGCCAGCGTGAACTCCACAGACCCCAGACCCCCAAGGGGTACCAGGCCTGCAAGGGGCGGGGAGCAGGGAGAAGACAGGGAGATCTCTGAGTCCAGCCTCCAGAGACAGCCCTCACTGGCAGTTACTGAGCACTTGATGGTTAGTTCTCTACCCAGCACTGAGTGTTTCACAGAGCCGTGGGAGGGCCTTCAGCCTGAGGCTACACAGCCAGGGCAGCAAAGCCTGGGTTCCCATTTCGGGGCTGGTGCAGTAGGCCCATGCTTGCTCTGTCTCTTTCCCAGCCTCTCCAGAATACCATACTTCTGTCCTGTGTCTTGTCACACTTTCCTGAGTGCAGAGGCCCTTTAGACTGGGTCCCCTGAGCTGCCAGGCCATGGCTGCAGCTCCTGTCTCCACCTTTTCCTCCTGCTCTGCCCCTGAGCATTCAATAAGCCCTGGTCTACAGTAGTCAGCAGGTAGAGATCACTAGTGTACACACTCCCCAGAGTGTAGTGGACAATCTGAGGAGGAAGTAAAAGGTCTGTCTCCCTTCCCCCCACTTTCTTCCATGGCCACTGCCCAATGGCAAGATGAGAGGGCAGGCAGAAGGCACAAAGAGGAGGAGTTGGGCCCCAACTTACTCAGTGTAGCCCCCAGGAGCTCGTTCATCACGCTCAGCACACTGTCTACCACAGGGCACAGCTGTGTGGGAGGAGGAAGATGTCACAGGAGAGATAAGGGTCCACTGTGCTTGAGGCAGCTGGCTCTGTGGTGCTGGGCCCCAAGGCAAGATGGAGTGTAGAGACAGGCCCAAGGAACACATGGGTGGGGACAAGAAGGGGCTTAGTGGGTGTCCAAGCCTTCGTCCCTGTTACATGGGCCCTATTAGGAAGTCCTAAAGGTTGCTGGGGGTGGGGGATGGAGATAGTGCAGGGATCCCTGAGGCAAGGCCAAGTGGCTGCTGTTCCCTTTGAGATTCTAAGCCCATCCTGCCATCCCCAGAGGTCCGAGGTCAGGAGTCCAGGGTACTTCAAGACCGGGACCCCCAACTCTAGCACCCTGAAGTCAGTTAACAGGAAGATTGTGAGTGAGGGCAGCCAGCTAGTATGACCTGCGACACAGAACAGCTGGGGAAGAGTGCACAGAGAAGCCACCCGGCAACACTGATCTCGGAGCATGACCAGAGCATGACCCCCATGCATGGTAACAAGGACTTCTATGTTCAAAGCACTCCTGGCACACAGCCAGCTTGTGGACTCAGCCCCAGGGCCCATTGAGGGACCACCCTGAATCCACAGGAGATAGCCTGTCCCCTCTGGTAGCAACATTTACCTCCTGCAGCTCAGGGCAGACCCCTGGCCTCCATCCACTGCCACCCACAAGGTGCTCTTTACCAGGGCTCAGGGACACTGGCTGGCTGCCCTTGGCTTGCTGTGGGACTCCAGCCCATAATATCTTCTCCCTCAATGAACCAGGCTTGGAAGAGGCACTATGGATTGTTCCCCCACAGAAGCATGGCCAGAAATGGACCTGGGACACCACCGTAAGTGATTAAACCTCTCTTTTGTCTAGGACATAGGAATCTGTATGTGTGGCACTTTAGACAGGGCTGTCAATCTCAAATCCCTGCTTCAAATCTAGTGACAAGGTTTTAATTTAAAGATAATATAAAGAAAAACATAAAGCTGGCCATTAAAAAAAAAAACAAACAGTACAAACAGAGCAGAGAGAGGAGACTCAGATTGAACCCCAGGGTCTCTAACGCAGGCTGCTGGTCTGAGGGAACTGTATCCCATGACCCAGGCTAGCAGGCATGGCAGGGTGGGGTCCTGGAGAGGAGAAAGACCCTACCAGGGGCCACACTCACCAGTCCAGGCAGCATCTTGCACAGCATCTGCTCTACAACCCCAAAGATCGGTGTGGGCAGCAGCCTGGGTGAGGAGATGTGAGGATGGATGGTGGGACAGGTGGACTGGGGCTCTGCCTTTCTCCTGTCTCCTCCTTTGGTGGGGTTAGCTGGGGCTTTGGAACCCAGGTTTAAGCCCTAGCCCCGCCTCACCATGGGACCCAGTGCTTTAGCTTGTCTGGTTGTACAGTCCCGCCCCACTGTGTGCTACTGCCAGACTGAAGAGAAGCCCACACATGTCTACTGTGCAGCCTGTGCTCCGTAAGAGTCTGATGCCCTTTCTCACCTGACATTTGTAGACGAGGGACATTTAGGTCTACAGCAGTATTTCACTCAGCCTTGGTCTCAAAAAATGAATGAATGAATGAATGAATGAATGAATGCTGAGTGGATGGTCTGAAGATTAGGATTGTCTGTAGACGGGCTCAGACCTGTGTGGAGACCATGGTGGTACAGGGTCCCTCTCTTACAGTCACATGGCAGGTGAGAAGCAGTATCCTAGGTTTACTCCCTCCAGAGCACCCCAGCCCAGAGAAGAGGAGGGACAAAGCCCCTGGAATTTAAGGAACCAAAGCTCCCATCTGCAATCGCCTGGTTAAACCCCTTCTGGACAGAGGACTACCACCCTATTCCTGGAGCTAACAAGGAGTCAACAAGATAGGGATGGACCTGGGATGCAGACAGTGCCTGAGAGAGAGGCGGAATGGGTCAGGGGAGGATAAGGAGGTGGTCAGAGACCAGCACATCTCCATGCCTGCTTCATCTGTGTGTGTGAGACCTTGGCCAGGACCCTCATCCTCTGTGGATTCTGTTGTCTCACAGGAGTGAGGTTGGATACAAGTGTGGGCAAGACCACCATGTCCTGAGCACCCCACAGGAAGAGGTGGATGTGAAGGTGTTTGTAAGTGGGATCCCAGGGACAAGAGAAGGACCTTGCCCAGGAGTAGGTGTCACAAGCTGTTGCCTGGGCCATGGGTCAGGGCTGAACCAAGGGGCTGCGTGATGCAATGGTCTCTGGCAGGGTGCAAAATGCACAGTGCGAATGAACTGGGCCGTGGCAGCAACTCACCCTGACATCAGGCTGATATGGCCCAGAAGTGTGCTGCAGCGCTTGAGGACCAGGATGGGTGTCCCCCGAGGGCTCATGCCCAGCGCCACCTTCGAGGACACATTTACCTCGGCTGCCAGCTGCAGGAGGCCCACCAGAGGTCTGCGAGACCACCACAGTGAATTTGACCTGGCTGACACACCTCACCCACCCCGTTATGCCCAGATCACATCTACCCAGCCCTTGGTCCTGTGGATGGTTGGGAGACCCCGGTGGGGAAAGGCGGAGTCTGGTCCCCATGCGTCTGTGCTGCCCTCCTCCCCATTTCAGACAGTGAAAGAGGGCCTGAGGAGTGTGATGGAAGCCAGGGTCTAGTAAGGTGGTGTTCTCTAGGGAAAGGGAATAGAGGAGAGCCCTTGGGAAATAGGGTGGGGGCCCTTGGAGGAAGCAGTGCAGGGGCGGCGGGGACAGTGGGTTAGGAGCCCCAAGGACACACTTACCCGGAACCATGCAGGCTAACCTTGGTATGCAGGCTCAGCTGCACCCCAAACCCTGGCAGCAGCTTGAGCGACACTTTGGGCAGAGTAAGTTCCTCTACCTTCAGCCTGGGGAGGGAGGAGAGGAGTGAAGTGGGCTGCCCACTCCCACAATCCCCAGGGCCTGGACGGACCCTGAGCAGGCAGGGTCCAGATACAGTCTGTGCTCAGTAACATAACCCAGGCCCCACGGTGGAAGGCCTGACCCTATCTGAAAGGTTCAGCCCTGATTTGGTCTCCGTGAGTAGCACTGTGCTCCATCTACAGCCCCAGGCTGGAGCACACCTCACAAGCAACTCCTCAGTCCAGCACCCACCAGCCTCATTCCCACTATTACTGTCTAAAGCACCCTCCCCTGACTCCCTTTAACTCAGCATCCTCCCCCAACTATCTGAGTCCTCCTGGCTTTCCTGGTTTCATCCAGGCATCCCCTCTGCCAGGAAGTCTATCTTCCTGATTCTCAGCCAGCAGCCTCCAGCCCTGCCTGAGCTCAGGGGATTGTCACAGCAACCTTTATGGCACCCTACAAGCTCCTTGAGTCAAGGACATGAGGCTACCTCAGTGAAGGATTCTAATGTGGGAGAGGTGGAAAGATACAGAATCTAACAACAGCAGTAGCCTCTATTGAGCTCTCACTTTGAGCCTGGCTTTACTCGGATTGCTCAACCCAGATTAATGCTGTTTTGGAATCACAGGACAGCCAGTCCAAGCTGGATACTTCACACCTCTGCACTGTGACTACCCAAATGACCGTTGGTGTGCCACATGCTGCAGGTCTGTGTCCACATGGGTAAAACCAAGACATTGGCAAGTGTACCACAGAGTGGCACGGTAAAACTAATCACTGTCTGCCATATTACCAGCCCCCTTTGTGGATGTGGGTGCTGCTTGGAGACCTGGCCCCCAGCCTTCTCTGTCTTCATAGCCCTGTGCTCCTTCCATCCTCTGACCAGCTCCTCTAATTCACTCCAACCACGGCCAGGAAGCACGGCCTGTGATCAGACACACAAACATGATACCCTCTGTGGCTGGGTGAGCGGGGCAGAATCTGTCCTACAAGGCTTCCACCCACCGACCTGTGACCTGAATTGACACTTGTCTCACCTCTGCATTTGGGTGGAGGGATTTATCAATGGTGCTTAAGGTCACATTGAAACCCCTGATGGCACCCATTCTGCTAAAGCATCAAAAAGCCCTTTTGATAAAATGGGGACTCTCCAATGAACAACCCAGACAAAAATTCCACCTCTCCCAGGATTTAAAATCTACCAGAGTGACAAGGACAAGCCAGTAAAATGTATGGAATGGCATGTCCCTAGACTTCTGAAGGTGGGGAAGGACCAGAGTCTTCAGAGCAGACATAAACTGCTGAGGAAGGAAGCCAGCCCAGAGAGACCAAGCAACCTTCCCGGGGTCACACAGCAAGTAATGAGAGTTGCCTTCAGCCCCAGACCCTGAACGACGATGACATGCATCAATTCCTGCCCTGCCAGACTCTAGTAATTATTTCCACTGCCTCCCAGCACCTCTTGTACTGCCTGCCAGCGGTCACAGTCCCTCTCCCCTCCTTCCCAAGGCAAATGAGAGATAAACCTTCTTGCAGGGAACTTCTGGAGCCCTGAAGCCTCACCCTGCCAGCTCCTCCACAACGCCAAAGATGCCCCCGTAGCTCAACAGGCCACCGCCTCCAAGTAGCCCTCCTGTACCTAGGAGGCCCTGGTTCACCGATGTCACTGTCCCCAGCACATTCTGAAGAATGGGTCCCCCAACCAGCGAGTTCTGGATGGCTAGAGAGAGGGTGGGAAGTAGGAAGGTTCTAGAAACTGCTGATCCAGTCTTAGGACCATGGCAGCTGCCCTTTCCTCTGACCTTCAGTTTAGTTTTCATTGGATTGACCCAGTCACACTCAAGGGCTGGGAACTCCCCCTACTGAGGTGCCAGAGACCACCGACCCTGCCTGGTACACAAAAGGTGCCCAGTGAGTGTCTGGGATGAATGAGTACAGCCTAACAACCCCTTCTATAGATGGGTAAATCAAGGCCCAGAGAAGAGCAGACACTTGCCCAAAGTCAGAGCAAATCATATGTGGGGTCTTTATTTTGCTCAGGCTCTGGATCCCAGGGCTACCCTGCAGCACCAAAAAAGAGAGAGGAACCAGTGAAGAGGGCACCTACGGCCACCACCAGGGTCTTTGATGGTGCTGCAGAGTGATCCAAATCCTCCTGGGGTACCACAGTCTGACTCTATGATCCAGCGCCAAGCAGCCCCACACAGCCACCACCTAAACAGCCTTGCCCTCTGTTCAGAGGAAAGGAAAATAATGAAGGAGCTGGGGAGCAGGCCGAAGCCTCCAGAGGGCCACCCAGCCCCTCCAGGACCATGTGCTGCTGAGCGCTGGTATCCTCAGCTCGCAAGTATCTGATGCAGACAATTACAGCCAGATACCGCCCCCACCCCCCTCGGCCTGCCCACCTGTCTCAGGCTCACCTTTGCCCAGTTCATCCTTGTCAATCCGGGCAAGCGTGCCCACCCTCTCAAGCAGCCCCTGACTTGGAACAGCCAGGCCCCAGAGTAGAAGCAGGGTATAGACACCCAACATCATCAGCGTCACACCTAGAGGGCTGGAAGAAGAGCCACCTCGCACCCAGCTGTTCCCTCCTGCTCTCCATCACTGTCAGTACACTGCCCAGTGCAGCTTCCACAGCCTTTGCCCATTGGATCCCATTTCACAGATGTGAAAATTGAGACCCAGAGATTGGAGGGAACTCTGTTGAGGCCACAGAGGTAACAAGTGGTAGGGCCAAGAGCACCAGTTTGAATCCACATTACTTAAAAGTTGTCATGTGGCTCCATGGGCCTAGCAGGGTCGAAGAGTCTCAGCTGGGTTCTCTGGGACAATCGAGGAGGGAGCTCTGGTTACAGACTGCTTCCCTGGTGGCTCCTGAGGCCATTTCAGAAGGAGTGGTTGATCAGGGTCAAGGAACACTTAGCCGAACATGTCCCTGTTCTCCCTCCTCCCCACCTTCATGCCAATTGTTACTGAAAAGGGAAACGGGGTAAGAACAGAGTATAGTGGGTTAGAAATCCATAGAACAGATTCTCTTAACAGAGCTCCACATCTGCCCACCTAGTCACATGTCCATCCATCTATCCCCTCACCCCACCAGGCTGAAACCTTTCAGTGGTTCCCACTGCCTGTGACATAAAGCCCAGGGCTCCTCACCATTATCCACAAACCTCTGGGACCTCCTTGGTTTTAACCATAGCAAGTCCCCCACCCCCATCCCAGGGCCTTTGCACATGCTTCTCCTACTGCTAAGAAGGCTCACTCAGCATCATGGACTAATCACCACCTTCTGAGAGGAGCCTCTCCTCTTACCTTGTCTGGAATCCTGTCCATCATTGGAATATTTAAGGCACTGATCATAATTTGTACCCATGCAAATGTACTTGTGTCCTTGTTGGCCATGGTTGTGAGCTGCAGGAAATAGGGAACCACCTCCAGCCTCTACTCAGCTTCCCATAAGTGCTGGAAGGGCACCTGCCGAGGGATCTAGTAGTTCCTCACTTGCCGAGCCTTGGGCTCTGGTGTGGGCTGGGTCAGCACAGAGCAGGCGTACTCTCCTTGGCACAAAGCTATCTGTGCAACACATGACCCAGCAGCAATCTTGACTGTACATCCTATTTGCTAAGGTATGTCCCTGAGTAGCAGTCACCCTAGGGTCTCTCACAGAAGGAAATACCATCATGGTAGAAGGCCATCACTTAGCGAAAGAGGGGCTGGCCTAGAGGCCTATCCAGGGACGATTCTGCCCCCACCCTACCCAGCCCTGCCAGGACCCGTCTACAACAAGGGTCCCAGATCTGTACAATGGCATTTTCCCTCCTGCTGCCCTCCCAGTACCCTCCCCCCAGGCCCCTCTTGGGGTAATTCATTCTGTGCCCATTATTTAGATTGGACAGGAGGGGATCAAGATGGAGCCAGGCCACCTGTGGTCACTTTACCGACTTGCTCCTGCTGCTCAGCAGGTGGGTTCCCAGCCTCCTGTCAGGTCTTCCACACCTGAGCCCAGGGGCAGCCCTTATATACCCACAGCAGCTTGGGGACACAAAGGGGGCACAGTCGCCAGAAACCCGTCAATATGTCATGTCAGGAGCAAACTGCGGTTTTCCCCAAGGGCCTGAACTAAGCCTTCCTTCTTCAGGGAAAGCCAGGGGCTGGGGTCGGTGCCCAGGGGCGGGAAGGAAGGCACAGGGGCTGCAGAGGCCGGTCTCTCTTCTTCACCGGGGCAGGTGGAGCTCTGCTACCCCCATTCAGCTCCCATGGAGCGCCTTCCAGGTTCCCAAGAGCTACCACAGGGTCCAACCTGCCTCCCCCACCTGCCCCTCACAAAGGCCTGGTGAGAAGGAAGAAGCTTAAGGCCACTGGGCCTTCTGATCTCTAACACAGTCCCAGGCCTACATGAAGAAGCCCCAGGCCTGGAGAGAGGGACTAGGGCCTGCCTGGGGAGGGCTACCAATCCAACCCACAGATGCCCAGGACTCCAGAGCAAGCAAGAACAGGAGAATGGTGCATGGGCATTCAGTCAGTCAGGGAGCACCTATTGTTAATCAGATGTGGGGTGTCCCTGTGAACAGAGCAGCCCTGCCCCCTGGGGCTGCCACATTCTTCAACATTTCAGTTAAAAAATGACAGCAGCGGGTAAAATTAATCTTCGTCATGCAATTCATTTAATTGAAGACAGCCAGCATGCTCTCATTAACATACTGTCAGCAGAACACCCAGAGCAAGGGGCTTTCCTTCTTTTTCCTCATCCCGTCTACCAGGTCCACTTATAGCAGTCCAGATTTTGGACTTGCATTTCAAGGAGTGGCAACATCATATGGACACACATATCTGGAGGGAAAACACACACGCACACATGTGCAGAACTAGTCCATAGCTAGAAATACAAATAAAGCAAGAAGGGCGCCGGTGGAGCAGAGGATACTCAATATGGTGGTAGGATGCCCTGAATGGGAGCAGAGTCAGCTTGGCCCAAGAGGGAAGTGGGAGGGAGTCTGGTAGGTACTGGGAAGGGGCCTGCATCGTGGAACTGTAGGCCACTGGAAATAGAGTGGTGATACTTCCCTGCAGGCTATTATATGCATGCAAGGCCTTTGACTTTTTGCTTTTCCTTATAGGTTTCTAAAACAGAGACTCCCTTTGTAGCCCGGACTGGCCTGGAACTCATGGCAATCCTCATGCCTCAGCTTCCTGAGTGCCTGAATTACAGACATGAGTCACGTGCCCAGTTGGCTTTAGCTTTTATTTGCAATTGTTCTGTAAGTGCTTATCCAGGCACTGCCTCTTCCAAGAAGTCTTCCTGACTTCCAGATTAAATGTGGCACCACCTTGGAAACTCCCCACTTTGGTCCCCTGTGCCTTCCTGTCTTATAGCTAGAGACATGCAGGAGATCACTGTGGTCTGTGGTGTCTCCTTAAGGCCTCAGCTTGGAGATGGGGAAGACCACTCACCTGGTCCCCCTCAGCAATGCTGAGCCCAAGGCCCACCTTCTTCCTGACTCAGGCTTAGCCAGGTTCCTCCACCACAACTCCCTGAACAGTAACAGCTTCTTGAAATATGAACAGAAAGGGGCCCAGACCCCCAGTGGGTAGCTTGATGAACTTTTAAACTAAGAGCTCCTAATGTTCCCCGTGTCCCCTCTAAGACATCCCACCGAAGGTGACCTTTGTCCCAACATGGCTGATGGCAGGTTGAGTGCAAAGGCATCAGCACCTGCTGTGAGTGGCTCTCTGTTCCTGCATGTTCCATGTCCCTGAAACAGATCTGTGTGGCCATGTGAAGAGCAATGCATCTGTCTTGGGCCCCTCCACATGTGGACACTATGGTTTCACTCCTTTTGTAAGGAGACACCAGGGACTTCCAGTGGTTGACTATTATGAGAGCTGCGATGGACACTTGTCATGTCATTCTGGGGACATATGTTTATAGTTTCCATCTTAGGTGAACAGCTGGGAGCAGAGCCAGCATGCCTGCCTTACCAGCAACAACTGTGCCTCTCCCAAGCAATCATGCAAAGAAGTCCCTCCCACCCATCCAGGTCTGTGGGCACCACCACTGCTGTGCCATGCCTTCCAGCACTGAATAGCACCACTGCTTTGAAGACGCCTTGAAAGACAAAGAAGGAAAGCCACATCCAGCATTTATTGAGCACTGATCATGCACATGGTCGCTACACAAGTAACATCTGCTGCCATCCTGACCCAGTGAGGTTAATTCTGCTATCCTTTCCCACTCCTCCCAGGAGCCAAGGTTAGGCTATGGGGAAGCAACTGGTCCAAGGTCATGCAGAGTCCAGCCTCCCCTCCAAGTCACTGCCCATCCAGTGAGTTACATGGACATGGACCATGCAGGCACAGGGAACCACTCACCTGCCTTGTGTGACCCTCATCCACTCTGTCAGGAAGACTGCCATGAGTCTGAGCCTGGGCTATTTAGAGGGACCCTGTCTCAAAAAATCACTGTGAAAAAAAGGGCAATATCCCTGAGCTGTCTGATTCTCCCTCCACTTGCCATATTGGCCTGCCCAGCCCAGCCTCTAAAAGGCAGGAAAATGCTACTTGAGCTCTGGCCTGGTCTTCCTTCCTGGTCCATCCCCCAGGGTCTCCATTCCCCCCTACCCCCCATACCCTACCCTCTCATGTACCAGATGGGTCATGAGAGTGGGCCTGCCTTTGGAGAAGACTTACTAAAGCACTATCTCTGGGCTCCACTGTAGAAAATTCTCACTCAGCAGACTGGGGGCAGAGGGCTTATACCCAGCATGATTAGCAAGGTGGCATGTGGGTCTGGTAATGGTGATGGGAGCCATGGAAAGGCTCAGAGCAGAGAAGGAAAAAGACTCCCAGGCATTAGTGCCTACTGTGCTCTGTCCCTCATGGTAGACTTGCACCTCAGAGCCAGTTTCGCCACGTTCACTTCACCTGATTGCTCCCACTGAGGACAGGTGCTAAGAATAGACATTAGGGGATAAGGGAGGCAAGGGTTCCAGAGAGACTCAGATGATGGGAACATCCTGGGAGGTGCCTGAGCACACAGTGGGCAGAGAAGAGAGAGGCGGGGTGGGTAGGACACAGCTGTGGGGACCATCACAGTGCCCTTCCCATGTTGGGAAGCCTAGCAGGTTCCTGAAGGTCGGTAGCTGGGGGCTCAGCATCAAAGATCTGACTCGGCTCCCTGCCTGCCTGCTCTGGTGTATCCAACTCTCAGAGCTTGGAAAGGAGAGGGAAGGAGACTCAGCTACAGATGGGTTCAAGACCAGCTTCATAAGGCTGTGTGGGGCCTCAGGGAAGTCACCTTATCTCTATAAATCTCCACTTCCCTCACTAGGGTTGGGGGAGTCCTGAACGGTCACAAAGTCCAGGGACAGAAGATCCCTGTCATGACTTCACAGGAGTAGGGTCACAGGGAAGGACTTCCTTTCCCCATCCAGCCCCTCATGTTCTGCCCAGAGCCAGTCTGGAGCATCTGCCACATCTTGAATGTTGACACCAGGTTGGAAGCCAGAACATGCACCCCTTTCCTAGAGAAATCAAGGCTCAGAAGGGAACTGCCGTACACTAGAAGCCACACTGTCTAAGGTCTTTCTTTTCTTTCTTTTTTGTCTCAGAGTCTTACTATGTAGCCTGGCTGGCCTGGATCTCCCTATGTAGACCAGGCTGGCTAGGAACGCACAGAGATCCACCTGCTTCTGCCTCCTGAGTGCTGAGGTTAAAGGTGTGCACCACCATGCCCGGTTGTGTCAAGATTCTTTTTGAGAACCCAGGCCTTCCCACTCTTAACAGCATTGTGCCTTGAGTTCCCCCAACTTCACGCTGGGCCTGGGGAAGGTCATTGTACAGTGGTTATGAGTGTGCTCTTGGACACACAGAGGCAGAGTTGGAGGGTGGGTGGAGTATCTGGCATACCCAGTGTCAAGTGTCACCACCCACGGATTAGCTAGACACTCGGACCTGCCAGGACTGCTTCAAGGCTGCTATTGTCCCACAGCCCCAGGAATGACAGCTGATAGGATTAGGTGACATTGAAGGACAAGGCCATGGCCCTGGCATCCGGGCCTCCCTCCTCTGTGGTATGGCTCTGTGCCAGGCTGGAACAAGGCCATCTTCCAGGCCCTGTAGACTTGAGGGGCACTGACCTGGTCAGCCTCTGATCACACTACAGATGCCAGCATGTGCCAGACCCAGGTCCATCCATACCCGCAGCCATCCTCAATCCCCACATCAGACTTGCCCTACGTAGACATATTGTGACATATGTACGCACCAGAGTATGGACACAGGGACATGCAGCCAGCACCCTGGCAATCTCCAGGGCCAGAACAACAGCAGGTCACAAGAGGTGGCCAGCGTGCATATTTTTCAAAGTCATAGACGGTTTTGTGTGTTTTTGTGTTTTAGCATGTGATATTGATTTTTAGCATCTACTTAGAATGCACATATTTAACTTGGTTATGTGAAAATATACATTTAGATTTAAAAGAATCAGTATAAGAATCATAAAACTAGGGATGTAGCTCAATGGTAAAGCATTTTGCCTGGCACATATGAGGTTCTGGGGTCCATCTCTGGCAAGACAGACAATAGACTTTTTTTTTAATAAACATTCTTTAAAAGAACAATATTGGGACTCCCAGGAGAAGTCATGGGGGAAGATGGGACAAACGTCAGGGGTCTGACCTCACAGGAGACATAGGAGCACTTTGGTCAGGCTGTGTGTGAGTAGACACGTATATATAGACACAGGAAGACACTGTGGACACACAGGCTTCTCTTGCAAATGGCCTTTCCTCTCAGCATGCCCTCCCAGTGCTCCAGCCTGCCCCAGACCCCAAACCCTGGGCCCCCTGCACAGGCACAGACACTCATATACTCCATCTCCATGGCCACACCCTGGCCCAGAGACACCTGCTCACATCTCTCTAGGCCTCAGAAGCCCACTCGGGCCAGTATTTTTGTGCCAGATGCTGTCCAAGTCCTTTCTAGAGTGCCATTCATGGGAGCCTCATAGCCACCCTGCTGGGATTGGCATGGACATCAGGTTGAGGTGCAGGTTAGGAAAGGGAGGCTCCCAACAGTGACATGACTCACCCAGGCAGCAAGGAAGCTGAGCAGAGGGGAAATCAGACAGGCTAGCTACAGAGCCAAGTTCCAGTCTTAGTTCCACAGTGTGCCAGGTGTCTGTTCCCAGTCAAACCACTCTGAGCCTCAACCTCCCAGTCTATAAAATGGTGGCAGTCACCTCCTCAGATTTGGAGGACTAAAGGTTGTGACATGAGGAGACCATCCTCAGGTTACTAAGACCTGGGGTACACAGCTGAAGCAGAGAGACCTCAGACAGGAAGCGTATCACCCTGGGCTTCCACCGTCTACTCCGTGAGTATGGGCGACCCTGCTTGTCCTTCCCAGGGTTTCTGATGAGCAAGAAAAGCACGGAGGATGGCTGTTATCAGGTACTTGGTGCATGCCAACCTCACCCTCAGGCTGTGCCAGTTACCCTCCATACCCCAAGCTGGTCTTAGCCCCCAAAACCTATCAAAGGAGACCAAAAGCCATATGCTGATTAGCTACAAAAAAATTAGAAACATTGAATGTTTGTGAGGGTCTCTCTCCTGTTTATTGCCAAGGCCCACCCAGACCTGCCCGCTCACTCCTGGTCTTAAGAAGTAGCCACCAGTGGCAGGGGACAAGCCCATTCGGCCCCCATTGGGGGCTCCTCTTCTGGTGCGGTTTGATGGCTGTTGAGGGCAGCTGGCAGAGTCCCACTGTCATTCTAGCTTCAAGTCCAGCACTAGGGCATTCTAATGGGAGAGAGAGCCGGGTGAAAAGGGGTAACAGGGGCCACCCAGGCACCAGCACTGATGGAGCTCGCCATGGTAAGGAGGTGGAAAGCAGTATAGCAGGTAAGCAAAGACCTGGGCAGTCTCTTTCCCCTCTGAGTCTCATTCAACTTTCTGTACTGTCAAATGGGAACGTGTACCCCCAATGTACCACCACCTCCCAGAGTGGGAAGAGGGAATGAGAGAAATATCTGTTTAACACTCCAAGCTCAAAGCCCAGCATGCAATGAGAAGCTTGTGTTTACTGAGCAGTTATTGTATCTCACTAAATCATAAGGACAGCTCTTTGATACCCAAGTTCTCGCCCCCGTTGAAGCCCAGGAAAGTAGAGGCACAAAGAGGCCGTGGTGACAGACCAAGAGAATAGCAAGGTTGTGTTCTTCTGTGGAACAAAGGTCCAAGACCTGAAGGTGAGGCCCTTGCTCTAGGACTGGCGGGACTGCAGTGATGACCATTTGCCCTTCTCTGCCCCACCTTCTCAGAGGGCCAGCTCTTGCTTATCACCTACTGTCCAAAAGTGTTGACTGATATGACCTCCCCCAGGCCCTCCCTCACCTCCACTATGTCCAGCTCAGCCAGGTTGTAATTGATAGCCAGAAGGTCCGGGAGTGGGAGCCCAACGTGGAGTACATCTGAGAAATACAGGAAGAATCATCTCAGTCTGACTGCTCGGCAATTGATTAAGAGGCTGCCTAGAGCTGAGTGGTGGGAAAGAGTGCCATAATTGATTCATGAAGTCTGCTAGATGCACAGGCAGAGAAACACTCATCTGCAATACATTTATATCACAAGCCAAAATCTCCCTGGTGATGGGAGGTCAAGGATCAGGGCCCAAATTATGAGATGGTAGTTTGTACCCAAGTAGATGACATTAAACCATAAGGGCTTTAAGGCCACACAGATGGAGACCTTTTCATCCTCGATAAAGCTCTTCTTGGAGCCTGATGGAGCCTTACCATTTACCACAGGAACGAAGGCCTTCTGGAGATAATCGGTGACAAAGCTAGTTAACTTCTTCTCCTGGAGAGAAAGACAGGATGGAACCCCCCAACACAGCTCAGCACCCCGCTTCAGCCTCCTTCCAGTTAGTCTTGGAGACCACAACAGAGGATATTAGGGATGGCAAACAGCTTTCCAGCCCGAAGTCGGGTCTAGGGGCTCAGCCCTGCCTTGCTCCTAGTCCCTGGTCAGGTGACATTCAGGGTCTCAGGTCCTGGCACATGAATGGGGACATGGAGGAGGCAGGAGGGGGCTATGTGGACCCCATACGTGGTCTGACAGAAAACTTAGAGCTTGGATCAGCATCACTTCCTCCAGCTCTCTGGGCCCATAGCACCTACTCACAGGGTTCCACAAGGGCTAACATGCCCACGAGGGGTAGTTGCTGCAGCTGCTGTTGGTAACTGCCTAGTCAGGTGCTATGCTGGTCCTGAGGCTAGAGACTAATAGAAAGAAGAGTAACAGCTTGACCAAACCAGCCAGGCCACTACCTATGGTGATGGTTTTTAAGTCAATCTATGGAGATGTCCAGCATCTATCTAGGAAAGGAAGCAAGGACTCAGAGAGGTTAAGGGCCTTTTCCTAAGGTCACATAGCACATCAGAAGCCCCATAGCCCACAATGGCCTTGCTCTCTTCACTCTCGCCTCTTCCCTGCAAGCCCAGTGTCACCTTCAGATGGCCAGCTAGAAGAAACTGGGACACTTACGTTGAAGTCACCTATTGATGAGGACTCCTGAGACAGGTTCAGTAAGCTGTAGAGAAGAGGAGGCCAGGAATAGTGTGGGGAAAGAATGGTCAGAGCCACTGGAGAAAGGGGCTCCTCAGCTTTTCCAGGCCCTGCCCCCCACAGGGGTTCCCTCTGCAGCCTGCTTGCATGTTATCTATGATGGGCCTCTGACCACCCATCATTACCTCCCATTCTGTCCCCACAGCTCACACCCTAGGCTCCTGCACCACCTCCCATGAGTCCTGTTCTTCCAAACTCTTGGCCTCTTGGTCATGTCTATGGCTCTATTAATAGCCCATATCCTTGAAGGACACCAAAGGAGTCCCTTTCCTGCCCCTCCCTCATACAGCTCCTAAGAGACACACTCAACATGGCTGACCACAGGTGACCATCTGGACTCTTCCTGTCCAACCCCCTCCCAGCAGCAGACCCTGCATCTCCATGTTCATTCCAGGCCAGCAACATGGGCAGATAATCCCCTGGCAGGGACAACTGTCTAGGCCCAGGCCACCCAACCATTTATCTCTTGGCCACTGTGATTGGCCAGCCTTGCTCCATGTGACCCAAACCAGCCCAAGCCTCAGTGACCTTGACAAGTATTGAACCAGAATGCCTCTTGTTGCTGGGGGTTGCTTTACTACCCAATGGGAAGAATTTAGCCAGAAAAACAGTTAGCAGAGACAAAGGAAAGAAGGAGAGAGATTCTTGAGAACTTTGTATGCCTAGATCCCACTGTGCCTGAAGCAGACATACAGGCTTCTGTCACATGAACCAAAGATTCCCTCTCAGTCTTGAAAGCAATTCCAGGTGGAATTCTACCCTTTGCCACTGAAAGAATCCTGGTGTAATAATACAAGTCAGATGAATTACTGAGACAAGTACAGGAATTAGTGAGTGGTTGAATGTACAGGCAGATCCTGTCTCTCAGAGTACAAAATGAAGCAGATGTCACATATGTGACCAGTGCCTCACCTAGAGAGAGCATACAGCGTTAAAGACTTCCTGAAGAGGCAGCATGTAAGCTGGACCCTGGCTCTTTAGGTGGCAAATACTAAAAGCCCTGCGGATGGAGAAACAGACCCAGGTCCATGACCAAACTCACTGGAAGAGTCTAGTGGATGGAAGAACTTGAGAAAGGCTTTGAGTGTCAAGCTAAGATTTAAAATAAGACTGTGTAGGCAGTGGGCAGCCATTGAGGATTCTAGAGCAGGATGAGTGACAGGAGCAGACTGGTGGTATGGGCCATGATGGATGGATCTGGGTAAGAGTCTGGAGCAGGAAGCTAAGCCTACAACAGAGCTACGGGAATGTCAGCATGGGGCTGCAGCTCCTACCTGTCCAGAGAGGTGGCCATCTGCAGCCGGTTCTCACATACTGAGTAGTGGATTTCCAGACTGAAGTGCTGGCATGGCAGAGGAGGTAGAGAAGACAATGAGCCTCCACTGATACCCCCTGCCGTCCTGCCCTGGGACTGAGCCCAGTACCCCTAACCCAGGCTCTGTGTCTCTCCTTGTCCAAGATCAGCATGAGCCTTTAGAAGCACCAGGCCCAATGCTGGGTCTCTACACACAGTGCTACTGCTCCAGGCCTTTGTGCTGTGCTCGAGGTGTCCCCTTGGAGGCATCGCAACATCATCCCCTTCCCTAGCTAAATCCTGCTCAATTTTCAACCATCCCTCAGCCAGCACTGGATGTGGGGGGGTCTCTTTAGGCTCCCACAATTCCCCAGGAGCAGATTTCACTGTCCTCTGGAGACTGAAGAGTGCTGGAGGGAGGAGAAAGGAACTAACCCACTGAGCCACCCAAAGGTGCAATGACAAGGCAGGGACCAGACAGCAGGTGACAGTGCCTGGAAGTCAGACCCCTCCTTCTGTATCCTGTTTCTCAACTAAAATCCCAGCACCCTGTAGCCTGGAGTGTCCCCAAGGTGGGAGTGGCTGAGGACAGGCCCCACTCACAGCCTCCAGGACAAAGAGCGATTTCGGGTGCTTGTGATGCTTCCGAGCTGCAAACATCTCCAGGCTGCCGTGGAGGTGCATCAGGCTCTTGCCAGGCTTCATGGTGACCTTGGGGGGCTTGCTTATTCTGACCTTGGTCAGCAAGGGTTTTGGCTTTGGATAGGCCTTGGCCACCTGCAGAAGTCAAGACATGAACTCAGGGACAGTTCTTGGAGTTCAAAGGTCCCTCAGGAAGTGGATGGTTTCCATGGTGGACACCAGAAGTCCAACATGCCAAGGCCCAGATGTGTCTCTTAAGAAATGAAATGAGCAAAGCCCAATATTTTGGTTATTTCTGTTGTGAACATAGGACTTTCAAGGTACAGAGACTGAGTTGTCTCTAGGCTGGACCCAAAGATTGCTCTGTGGAGAGGTTGGGATGTCTCTACGTTGGACAAATGACATGTGCATTGAGCATCTGCCTCCTAAGACCATTCCATTTGCCTGGAGGGGAGGCCGAGGGCAGTGGTCACAGGTAGCTGGGGTACTCACCTCTGGGATGAAGCCAGCCAATGTCCCAGTGGTTTGTGCCAGCTTACCAACCTATGAATCAAAGTCAAGTTGGAGACTATGGAAGGCCCAGCCATCCTGACAACCATCTCCTGCCTCAGGATGGGGTGATGGAACAGTGGAAAAGGGAAGGATACACAGGTAGGCACCTGGCTGGATGGGCAGGTGAGAAGCAGAGAGGACAATGGTGGGGCATGTGGCTGGTAAATGGTTCATAGATGGGCTATCCACCTATCTGTGGTCCTGGGTGTGGTGGAGATGATCTGAAGAGACTGAAGGATGCCAGGTGGGGATTGAGCCAGGTCTGAAGACAGTAGGTGAGTGACAAGTGGATAAAAAGAAGGCAGTGGCGGGGCTGGAGAGATGGCTCAGCAGTTAAGTGCGCTGGCTGCTCTTGCAAAAGACCAGGGTTCGAATCCCAGTACCCACATGGCAGCTAACAACTGTCTGTAACTCCAGTTCCAGGGGATCCGACAGCCTCTTCTGACCTCTGTGGGCATTGCATGACACGGGTGCACTTACCTACATGCAGGCAATACACGCATACACATAAAATAAAAATAATAAATAAAACTTTTAATTCAAAAATGGTTAAAAAAAAAAAGGCAGTGGCTGGAAAGGCATGAGAAATATGAGAAATGCAGGTGGGGGGCTGGCAAGACAGCTCAGCAGGTAAAAGCTCTTGCCACATCAGCCAGGGCTCAATCCCTGGAACCCACACTGGAGGGAGAGAATCAGTTCCAGAAAGTTGTCCTCTGATCGCCACATGCACACTCTAGGACACATGTTACATACACACACACACACACACACACACACAAAATATTTTTTTTTTCATAATAATATTTTTTTAAAAGAAATGTAGGTGGGTCACTAGATGGTTGGCTGTGTGGACAGTCAGATAGACACAGGTGACATGGGCAGAGGAGTGCTGGAGCCCGGGAACTGCGGGTGGAACCCCAAGAAGCCCCACGTCTTCCAGGTATGCAGGGCCTGTCACTCCGGGGGCAGAAGCAAGTGGGATGCACGCAGGGACAGCTTACCCTCCTGTCCTTGATGTTCACTTCCAAAGGCTTCTGTAGAAGGGCCAGCTCAGCCGTGAGGAAGGTGGCTGAGAGCAGCAACTGCGAGCCCTTGGCTGGGCCCTCAGGGAACTCTGGGATCGCCCCATCGGCAGCAAGTTGGATGGCTACACCCTTCTGCACCTGCACCACGGGCTGAGGGACAGCAGGGGGGACACTCAGTCATGAAGGACTAAGGCCAAAGGAATCGTACTCCTGCAACCACTGGGGCTCAAGTCAGTAAGACATTGTTAGAGCCAGAACAGGCCATAGACGAGTAGATTATGGCCTGAGGGGACAAAGATGTCAGCTACTAGGTCCCTGGCAGTTTCTCCTAGGAGCACTTGGGTCACCTTGGTGGCTCTGACTCTCATCTGGCACCCTCATTTATGCAGAGTGTGAGGCGAGCCCTAGATCTTTCTTACAAGCAGCAGGAAAAGGCCCAGCATGGCAGGAGGAAGACCACACTGGAAGGCAACTCATAGGACTTTCTTCCCCATTCTTGCAAGATGCATGTCCCTCTGCCACCTGGGGCTTGGCAACCCTGGGTGAGGACCCAACTCTGCAAATAACTCGCTGCAGAAGCCTCAACAAGCCAGGTCTCTTCCCAGTCTCAGTGTCCCCATCTTAATAGCAGGGCATAACTGGGGGGCCACTCTCTGAGAGATACACAAGACGTGAGAGTAAAATAAGCCACTCCAGTAAGCTGACTCAGAACAGAGAGACAGGGAGACCCTCAAGGCAAGCCTCCCACCCTCCACAGTCTCAGCCTGGCCACCTGCTAAGTGGGAGCTGCTACACCCAGCCCAGCCTGAGTTCACACCCTGGGGACTCGTTCTACTTACACTAAAGTCCACCAGGATGTGGCTGGCTGTGGTGGCTGGTGAGGATGTCAGAGCATATTTGACAGTGCCCATCTGGCCCACGGTCATTGGGTCTGTGGAGAAGAGGTCCCACTCAAATAGGTGCCAACCCCAGGGAGAGTTAGAAGAACCAGCAGCAGTCACTGCTCTTGAGCCAGTTCCTCTGTGTGACCCAAGGCAAGCTGCTTAGTATCTGGACCTCGGTAACCACCACTGTGGATTGGAGGCTATAGGGCCATCCCCAAGGCCCTTTCTTCTTTGGGTGACAATAGATTCGAGGTTACAATTACTGTTTACAGATAAGCAAACGGTGCGGAGAGGGTAAAGAGACTTTCCCCAAGCACCCAGGGCATGAACAGGGAGGGGTCAGAATTTCCTTTCTCCCACTCTGGGGGATCCTGTGGACCCCAAATGGTGGACGCAAGGATCCCTTCAGCAAAGGAGTTAGGAACAAGTCATGAGGTTTGGGGTTAAATGCAGAGTGGCTGCTAAGAGATCTGCATCCCAGCATCCCTAGGTCCTCAGGCTTCCTACCTGGACAGTGCAGGGACACAGTGATCTCAGCCCTCCTCTAGTCCTGCTGGGCAGGAAGCAGCCATGTGAGGAGGGCATGGGGATCTTGATGTCCCATATGGGGGAGGGTTGCCCTTACCAGTCAGCTTAGTCCACTTCTTGTTTACATACACCAGGACAGCATCAATGGCTGGACACATCTGTGAGCAAAGATGGCACCAGGCAGTGAGTCATGTACACATGATGACTTCATAGCACTCCACAGGGAATCCTAAGAGCCCTGACAGGACAAGGACTAGGAGGGAAACTGAGGTACAAGTCACAGAGACTATCAACCACAGATGATCCATAGCCTATAAAATCATTGAGGACTCATTTCCTAGGCTTGACATCAGGCATAGTGGCACGTGCCTTTAATCCCAGTCCTCGGGAGGCAAAGGCAGACAGATCTCTGTGAGACTGAGGTCAGCCTGTCCACATAGTTACTTCTAGGAAGGCTAGGACTAGGGAGACTCTGACCAAAAAAACAAACAAACAAACAAACAAACCCTGGGTCTGCTCATCTGAGCAGGCTTGGCAAGCTGGAGTATAAGTGTAATTGTTGCCTATGCCCATGCTCATAGCAGACATCACTAGATGATCACGGCACATCCTCCTGAGCCAGTCACAGCCTCTGAATTCTTCTCAGCTACTATCAACCACCAAGGTCCAGGCCTAAGAGCAAATGCACTGACTACCCTGGCCACAGCAGTCCCACCAAGAAGAGACAAAGACACTCAGGGTCACTCACCAGGCCAGGGAGGACCTTGCGCAGGGTGCTGTCCAGGAACTTGTTGATTGCCTTGCTGAGATAGATACAGATATAGAGGAGAGGGCAAGTGGGTAATGGCAGCAAGTTCAGCAGAAGCCACGAAGGAACATGGTTACAGAGGTTCAGTGGCTCAGAAAGAGAGATCCTGGGGAGGAACAGAGGGGACCACCATCCTTCCCAGCCACAGAGCCCCTTACTTGTTAGGCAGGTTGGTTTTCACACTGACCAGGATGACCTCACAGCCCTCACTCCTGAACATGGGGATGCTGGTCTCCTCATCCTGCAGAATTCGGTTGGTGGCTGTGATGTTCAGGACCACAATAATCTCCATGTTTCCTCCCGTGAAGCTGAAAGACCAGGCAGGGACTGTGGGTATCGCTGCTACTGAGGCTACTCGCCCCACTATCTTTGTCCACAATCTCAGCATCTCTGAGAACAGTCTGCCCAGGGTCTACGCCCAAGGTAGAAGAGGGGATGGAGCCAGCACAGTCACACAGCTAGCCCTTCCACTCCCCTCTTAACTTTGGTGAACTCTACACAGCCTTCAAAACTCTGCTCAGCTGTAATCACAACCCCAGAGCCCTTCCTGACCTCCTTCTTCCCCTGCTCAATGTCTCCTGCCTTCTAGATCAAGCACTCGGTCTGCTACTCTGCTTCATCTGGTTCCGATCAAAGTAGAACCCAAGTCTGCATCACATCATACTCCAGTACCCAGATGGCACACAGGTGGTGCACAGTCAATGTGCGTGTAAGGGTGAGATAGGGAGCCATTCTCCTTCCTCCCTGCTTCTCCCCTGCCACACCAACCTCTTGCCAGTGATGGTCATGCCTGTGGACACACACTGGAAGATGCCCACTCCAGGTATGAAGTCCAGTGTGATGACAGGTACCAGGACGTCCTTGACCTTCATACTGGGAGGGGACAGTATGCACAGCGATAAGGACTGAGGCGGCAAGACCCAAGCCCTCAGTGTGCTCCTCTACCACCTGGCTGGGAGGTCTAAGCAAACTTCTATCCCATGTCTCACAGGGCCATCGTGAAATGTGAACAAAAGGCTGGGTATGAGCTAATTTGTATACAGAAAGCACTCATTGTGCATGAAGTAAGACACATGGCTAATTCCATGTGACCTTGGACTGTTCTCTTTCCTTATAATTTCCCCATAAACAGAATAGGAAGATTGGCTTGGATCCAGGTTCTCAGTAGTGGCACTATCATCTGTCCTGTGCATTAGAAGATGTTTAGTACCAGTTCTGACCTCAACCACAGATGCCAATAGCACTGTCCCACTCGCTTGCAAGTTGTGACAACCAAAAATGTCTCCAAACATTGCTGAACAACCCTCTAGAGATACAATCACTTACTGTTGAGAAACACCAGTTGAGAGTTGGGATAACAAAGTAGTACACATACCTCCACCTGCCCATGCTGAGCTCTTCACAAACATTTCTAATCAACACAGTCCTATCCCTGCTAAGTCCAGATGGTGTCTCAGCACCTCCCCAGGACAGCAGTCTAGCAGCCCCTACCAATCAATCCCAGATAGTGCTTGCAAAGAAACCCCTTTCTTCCTATCAACAAATGACTGTTAATGCCTTTCCAGCTCTACCATTTGAAGGTGGTTGGGTTTTTCCCCCCATTTAATTTCATGTACATTCCACAAGCTTTTGTCACATGCAGGGAATTAGAGATTGGCTCTTCAACTTCACTTTCCCCAAGTGACTCTTGACAACAATGGTTCCCAGGCATGGCTGAGGGATCCCAGGCCAAGGCAGGTAAGACCCAGCATGCCTTGTCCTCCCCCCACAGCCCTCTGCTTACTTGCTGAGGCCCTTGATGGCTTTCCCCCCTGGCTGTGGCCTGCTAGCCTCGGCTGCCATCTTTTCCAGGATATGGCTCTCCTCCATGGCACTCTGGACCTCTGAAGGGGACAGGGTGATGAGAGACCCTCAGCTGGACACCCACTGCTCCTCCACCCAGCACCAATCTCTCCAGCATCCCAACCATTTATACCCACTATGCCTCACCCTGAGCTGGGCAAAGCCAGGGACCAAGGTGAGCCACAGGCCCAACTCTCTTGTCCTTCCTTAGCCTAGTGGGAAGTGACAGAGTGCCCAAGATCTGTAAAAGAGAAGTGAAGGTACTACATGAAGGGCTCAGACACGAAGGGAGGAGTTGAGGACAGCTGCCAGGAAGAGGTAGCGTATATCTGCCATTCCTTGAAGAAGGACTAGACGACTTCATTGGAGGTGAAGGGATGCAGGGCAGCAGGTAGAGAAGAAGGCACAGCAAGGACAAAAGTGGAGATAGGAGAAGGGGCAGGACCAGGGGAGAGCCGGGTAAGGGGTGGGGTTGGAACTGGGGTTGGGGGGCAGTTTGAAGAGCCAGAGCCAGAGCCAGCTGAGGAGAGAGGAGAAGGAACAGAAGAAGGAGGAGGGGCAGGGAGCTCCTTAAAATGAGGTTCTGGGCCTGGTACCAAGAGATGCTGACTCCCCAGAGCTGGAGATCCCAACCTCAGATTACACGCTGCCAGAAACCCCTCCATCAGAGTCACTGACTAATTTCCAGAAAGAGTACAAACACCAAATAAATCACAGTTAGCCTTTTGCACCTGAATGCAACTCCCTTGTGGAGGTGGGAATGAGGTGAAAATTAGTGTAACCAAGATTCCCAAAGGAGTTAATGTCACACATCATTCAATCCTTTCAGAGAAGGGCTGGTCACCTTGTTTATAATTCTCTACTTTTACAGATTCGCAAACAACACAGGACTCAGGTCACACAGCAAGTTGCTGTCAGAGCTGGGATTTGACCCATACCTGCCACCTCCACAGCCCTCCAGAGGCCACTGACCCCTGCCATCAGGGCCAGGGAAGGTCTGGAAGGGAACAAGATTTCTGGCTCTGCCTCTAACTTGGGGCAGCTTGGGGAGTTGGATCATTTGCTCTGGGCCTCTGCCTGGCCACCTTCTATAGAATGGAAGGCCGGAAGTAGCAAATTAATCTAGTTGTTTTTACGAATCCTAGGATGCTCAGGCCCTATAGACATGAGGGATCACGACCTACCACCCCTAACACCCTCCTGGTCTCAGCTGTCCACTCACCTTGGTTCATGATGTCCATGCCCAACCTCAGCAGAGCCCCAGGGTCAGCTCTTGTGCCTGCCAGCAGGCCACAGAAGACCAGGCAGAGGATCCACAGCATGCCTCCACCTCCTATGCAGAGGGCCTAAAGTCACTCCGGGGAGTGTAACTCCTCTCTAAATCCACTTTCCTGGTGGAAATAAAGCAATGATCAGCCTGCTCCATGGGCAGGGTCAGTTGTAGATCTGCACAAGTTCAAGTGCCACCCACACCAACCTTTCTGGGTCAGGGAGTTCATCCGGCAATGTGTACAAAGCCACTAGGTCCCTTGTCTCCTTGAGCCCTGCCTCACTTTCATATGGAGGCCAAAACCTCAACTCAGCCCCTGGAGGTCCCCTGAGACATGGCCTTGTCAATAAGGAAACTGAGGCACACAAGAGGCCCGATGACCAGAAAACAGCAAGATGAGTAATGGCCTCCTCGCTCCCCACCCCCTAGATCCCTCCAAGGTTCTCAAGAAAGCCAAGTCCACCCTGGCCCTCCAGAAATCCAGACCCTCTACTTACCAAGACTTGAAATTCTCTCAGCACAGGTCAAGTATATGCTTCTGATTTGAGCTAAGGCTGAAAGGAATGAAGGAGGAGCCACGCAGCTGGCCTGTGTTTGTCAGGAGAGGAGAGCGCCATCCAGACTCACTACAGCACACCTTGCCCAAAGTTCTCCTAACGCCCAAGCCAAAGTGGATTCTCTCGAGCATTCCTTCCCAGCCCAGGTCTGAGCTTGCATACCTGTGTCATCTGTCCATCCATCCATTCATTCATTCATCCATTCATCTAGTCATTCGTTCTTCCATTCGCTCATCTGTTCTTTGATACATCTATTCATTCATCTGCTGTCCATTCATCTGTTTATTCATCCGGCACCCATTTATGGCACACTGCTGCAAGGCAGCCCCAATAGACAGTCCTGCCCTTCAAAAACAGGATGGAACAGGGTTGGGGACAAAGCAATCAGAAAGACTGCTAAGGAGGCCAGAACCTAGAGGATGTGAAAAAGGACAGAGTCTGAAGAACAGGTTGCTAAGAAAAAGTGCAACCTAGTGCAATCTTGTCCCAATTACTTCTAAAAGCATCTGGGCTTGAAAGCCATCAGTTCAGTGGCTCACCAGGCCCTGTGAAACACACATAGGTGCCCAAGCAAGTGCCCACAGCTGGCATTCCAAGGCAAAGTTCTTTGAAAGTCACCCCAGGGGGCCTCTGGGCTTTGTGCCAGGGCAACAGAGCTCTGTAGAGTCTCTTCCAGCCTCTCCCATCCCACAAATAGGCAGACAGCCCTAATCAGCTCCCCATGCCCAGACCAGAGCCAATGCCACACAGCCCTGTTGTCTGTCTTGAGCAGTTTTCACCCTCTCGCTATAAGAAAGCATTCTTCCCAGGAGGCGGGGGCAATGCCAGGATTCTATTCCTGGTTATACTTTTCCCTGAGTTGTGTCTCCTTTTTACCATCCCTGCCCTCTACCTACCCAGTACCTATCCACCCTTGGGTGTTCCTTTCAGTCTTTGCCTCCCCCGCCAGCAAGAGCTCCCCTCTACTCCTTGCTGCTCACTACCTTGAAAACCTCAAGGATCAATTGGGATCTGATTTTGCACAAAAGCACCCACCATATCAGCTGCCCCTGCTGTCCACCCCAGCCTTTGAGGCCCAGCTGAGCTATCAGCTCCCATAAGCCAGCCTATGCTTCCCTCCCTCCTCTTCCTGGGCTTCTGATGGAGCCCACAAAGGTTCCACTGCTGCTACTGCCCCCTTGGTCACCTTAAGCCCTATGTATGCGAAGATAGCAGTGTTCAGAGGCCACCTGCAAGGTGGGAGCACCAGGCAGGAGTCAGGACATAGATATGAGTCCTGCCACTCATTCATTGTAACCTCAAGTCAGTTCTGTTTGATTCCTGGGTCTCAGCTGTCTCATTTATAAAGCGAAAGTGCTGGATGAGACACTCGGGGAAGAGCCACAGGCAGAAGACTGTCCTTACCTTGCTGAGCTTGGGGAGGTCTGCAGCTGACTGCCCCCCTGCCTCAAACCTGTGACGAAGCCCTTATATTCTGGAACCTGATTAGCCACTTGGATAATTAAGGGCTTAATAAGGGATAGATAATTATCTGGAGGCCCAAAGAACAGGAGCCCCAGAGCTCACGTGAGGCTTTAATCTGTTCCAATATAAATAGCACAGAACATAAGGGTGGCTGGGGAGCCCGTGGGCTGCACCCAGACTGATGTTAGGAGAGGGACATGACTGACCCCTCTCTCCATCTCATTACCTTCTCCAAGATGGGTCACACAGTAGGTACACATTCACTACTTTCTCAACATTTATTGAGTACCTACTGTGTTCTATGTCTTCTCAGGCCCTGAGGGACCATAGTAATCAAGACAGGGTTCTTGCCCTCAGACTATGCAAGTCACTCACCATAGGACCGCATCCTTTCTGAGGGAGGCAAGGTAGGTAGAAGCCACTAAGCAGGGAGATAGGACAGATGGAAGGCAGAGGGGCAATGTGGACTGGGAGAACTTTCTAGCAGGGCATTGTTACTATTTCACAGATAGGAAAATTGAGGTTCAGAGAGGATAAGCCATTTGCCCAAAGTCAAATGACAAGCGAATGATATGGCTAGGAATTAACTAGGCAACCAAAGGCTCCAGAACTAGGCAACACCAGCCAAGACATACCAAGTCTACCACTCTGATATACCCCCTCCCAACATACACACATATGCACACACACTGCTCCAAATCCAGCCATACTTCCCCAACTAGTGAGACTCTATCCTCCAGGGAGCCTTCCTGTACCCTCCACCTCCCCTTCTCTCAGACACCTCTGGCTCTTAAGACCCAGCATCCTCTTTCCCTCGCCTCAGGCCCTCAAGGACCCAGCAAGGGTGATTCAAGCCCAGCAGATCCTACCAGCCCTAGGGATCTGGCTTTCCATACGGCTCCAACACAGACACTCATAAGCAATGCACTCACTACACATTTATTATGCACCTGCTATGTGCTGGGCTCTGGGAAGGGTCAGAGTGGAGAATTAAGTGTAAAAGAAGCCCCAACCCCTGCTATCCGGCCCGTCCACTCCAATAACCTCAATCTGCAGCTGAAGGACATCAGCATAACCCCAAAGGAGGCCTGGGGACTGAAGAGCAGCACACTGCCAGACCTCTACAATGACCAGCCGAGGTCACATCAGAGCTGGTACCCGGGGGGAGCCAAGAGTGGCAGCGAAGGCCTCAGAGTTGCTGCTCAGGCTCCAGGTTAAAAGTTAAAACAGGACGTTACAGGGGAACAGTGGCATGTTTGTCAAGGAGTCAGACCTGAGAGAACACATCCTTCTACCCTTCATTCCATGGTGTCATGCAATAATTTGCCACCTCTCTGCTCTGAACACCCCATCTGTGCTGAACTAATTAACATCTCCCCTTTAAAGGGAGAACGAGGTTAACCTTTCCCCAGAGAAGGGGGCTGGAGGCGATGTGCAGGAAAAGGCGAATGCAGTTCTCACAGCTGGGCAGGGCTGGCGGACCATGAGAGAACCATGGGGAACGTTTTCCTCAGCTACAGGCACTGGACCACACCTTTCTGAACCTTACTGCCTTGGCCTGTGGTGGGCCCTTCTGCAACTTCTCCACACAGACACCAGACACACTTCCCTGCTCTCCCACCCATCAAACCCATCCACTGTATAGCCACCAGGCTGTGCCAGCACCCGGATCCTCTTTAAGTACCCCCTCTTGTGGCCCACAGAACTGAAATCCTCACTCCTGCCCCACTGCCACCTCACCTGGGCTACTTGCCTATGGGCTGTGAAGGCTGTCACCACTCACCAACCTCCCATCAGCTCCAGGCAGCTGTGACCTGGCCAGCCAACCAGATGCCTCTACTCTAGAAGGCAGAGCAAACCTTCCTTCAAGAAGGTGTGAAGCCCTCTGAGTCTGCTGCTCCTCAGTGCTTGCCCTCAGCCCTGGGGCACCAGCAGATCTCCTGTAACTCTCACAGCCACTGCTCAGCACAGTGGTAAGGATGTGAGTTAAGCACGCTTGTTGATGCTGTGTGTGCATCTCTCTCCTGGCTGGACCCACACTGCCACACTCACTGCACCACTCAGCAACCAGTCACCAGCAGGCACCTGACTGAATACCTGTGCTGCACGCTGGCACTTAGGAACCAAGCCAGCTCCTTTGGGAGACACCACAGACTTCCTACTGGGTGGGGAGCTTGACTCAGCTAGTTTCTTCCCCCTCCTCTCAAGAGAACATGTTATGGAACTAGGCACATCATGAATACAAAAGCTGGCTAGAAGGAAAGAATGATAGAATAAATGGATGGAGGGATGATGGATAATGGATGGATGGATGGATGGATGAATTAGGCAGGTGGGTGGGTACATAGCTAGATGAGTAGATAGATGGATGAGTAGGTGGAAGGATAGATGGAAGGATGGGTGGCTAGGTGGGTAGTAGATGAATGGGTGGATAAATGGACAAATGGATGGACGAGTGTATGAATAGATAGGTGGGTAGATGGGTAGTTATATTAATGGGTGGATTGAGCTTAGTGTGATGGCACACATCTCTAATTCCAACATTCAGGAGGGTAAAACAGGACAGCCTAGACTAAATATTATAGTAAGACCCTGCCTCAGAACAATAAAAACATAGATGGATGGTGAATGGGTAGAAGGGTGAATTAATGAAATGAGTGGAAGGGAATGGGAGAGACAAGAAGGGTGGATCATTGCACTGATGGGATTTGGATGAATCTTGTATATCAAGCTCATAATCTCTATGTCATTAACTTCCTTTATGTACTTGGGCTATGTGATGGCTTCATGTGAAATGTCTAAATGCCCCCCTAGGATCCTGCTCTTGAACACCCAGTTCTTAGCTAATGGTGCTGTTTTGGAAGTGTATGGAACCTTTGGGATGTGGGGTCTAACTACTGGACGAAGGCCATTAGGAGCAGGCCTTGAAGGTTATATCTACCTTCAGTTCCAGTCTAGCTCTCTCCTCCCCATTAACCACCATGTGAAGCAGTAGAAGCCCCAGGTTCCCGCCCCCCAGCACAGATCACATTTCTGTGATCACATTTTGCCCTCCATGATGGACTGAAATCCCCTAAAACCATGAGCAAGAATCAACCTCTCTTCCCTTAAACTGTTTCTATTGGGTATTTTGTCACAGTGAGGAGAAAGGTCACTAACACAGGATATATATTAGATTTTTATCTCTTCAAACCCCCAGTCACCTAGCTTAAGACTTAGTCTACACAGTAAAAGCAGGATTGGAGACTTAATTAACTGAGCAACCAAATAAATAAATAAATAGACTAAAGGCACATGATCCCCAGGGAAATCACAAGGAGAGATTTTATAGTCTGCCTTTTTACTCTCTCACACTTCCTGACTTCCTCCCATCTCTAAGACTGAGTTGAGTCCAGGTGTTCCCTGCCACCCTTGAGATGAGAGATGACCTTGAGAGTCTATGGCCGGGGGCGGGGGCGCACTGATGGAGGAAATCCAGGCGCCTTCTACTTCCCCAAAGGAAACATAGAACATGACCCCTGTATTCAGGCAAGAATGAATCATACCCCTGGCTTAGAGATTAGCCTATCAGGGGAGAAAATCACACGGCTTTGGCTTACAGGTGCTTGAGTCCCTTGCTCTGCCCAGTCCATGGGTCTAAGGAGCTCTCAGGATCAAGGGCCCAACAAGAGAGTGGCATGTGCCTGAGAGCAGAGCCAGGAAGAAAGTCCTGTCTCCTAGGACAAAATCGGGGGAGGAAGGTGTTTGACGACAAGTGAAAGGGGGAACTGGACATATTGTCTAGATTCTGGAAAGATCGAGATCCTAGGATCTCCCGCCAGTTCTGGGACTCTGGGTGTGCCCCCTCCTCACTGGACCTTGATCTCTGCACCCACCAGAAGGAACTCAGAACCCACCTGTCTGGCTCAGAGGGGTCAGAGGGCACAGTGACTGAACAGTCAGGTGCTACTCATGACTCTCCAGGGTCCTCTTTCAAAATAGGAGCTCCCTGGACAAGAAGGTGAGAGTCAGCAGGCATGGTCAAGAGAGAGGCTTTCTTCTTCCTCTCCAGGGCAGCTTGGGTGGCTCTGGGGACAACCAGGACCCAGGGCCTGCATATGGGGAACTGGCCTCAGGTACACAGAGTCATCTGGGAGTTGCGGCTCAAGGGAAGACATTTAATGTCCAGTGTGGTAGGTTTGCACATCTTTCATCCAGTGGCCTACTCCACAGAAGGGGCACAGGAAGGGGAGAGAGGAGACAGGAAGAAGGAAGGGAGGGATCCAGGTGGCAAGCAAAGCTGAAGCAACCTAGACAGGCAATCTGGCTTGCCGATGATGACTCCACATGGCTCTGCCTCAGCGTCCCCAGGCTTGAGGAAAGAGGACTCCTGAACAGCCAGGCTGACTTGCCCTTGGCCCTTCCCATGATCCGGGCTCAGTGCTGGTAGGCGAGTCCACTAGATATCACAACATAGCCCTGAAAAAAACAAGAAAAGCGTGGGCCAGCTCAGAGGCCTTTGGGGACAAACGGACCCCTTTGGCCTGGCTCTGGGTCATGTTTTCATTAGGAGAAGGTGGTCACCTTTCTGCCCCTCAGTCTCCTGCTCTGTCACTCAGGTAGCAGCACCCACCTCACAAGGCCATAGAGGGACACAGTGAGAGCCCTCAGGAGGTGGATTAGCAAGTGCTAATCTGTGCTATGTGCATAATTGGTGCCATTGCTGTTTATGACCAGGAATGTGGAACTAGGGAGTACCTTCTTCAAGACCTGGCAGAGCCAGGCATTCCCCATGCCTCTCAAATTTGCCACGTCATTACAGAATCATTCCAAAGGGTTGCTAGCCGTTCATTCATTCATCCATCAAGCCATTCATTCATTCAACAAGCCTCCACTGAGCATCTATCACACACAGCATATACTATGGTAGATACTGAGGACTCAGCAGTAATAAACCAGACCCAGTCCCTGCTCATAGATAGCTCAGAGTCTAGGGTTACTGGTTCAATCTGGTGGACATTAGCAACGAATGACCAATTAAATTCATTTTCATTAGGGGAGGGCAGTTAAGATAGGGTTTCAGACTAGCCTCAAACCTTCTATGTAGCCAAAGATGACCTTGAATTCATGATCTTGCACCCATCTTCCAAGTGCTGGAATTGCAGGTGTGTGTTACCCTACTCACCTGGTTAAGGTTTTTAGAGGTGGAGCCCCACTTCAAGCACTCAGTAGTACAGTACATGTTCAAGGTGACAGCTTTGAGCAATGCCAATTTCTGTCACTGCAGAAAATTTCATCATTGTGGACTGGCCTGGGACCACAGAGTATGTCTTGAGGCAGCTGCATAACAGCCCTGGATCCTCTGTGTACTGACTGTTCCTCTTTTCTATCTTATTTTTGCATGTGTATGGATGTATATTGTGCATGTGTTCATACTGACGTGTGGAGGCCAGAGGTCTTTGTCATTGTTCTCCATTTCATTTACTGAGGCAGAGCCTCTCACTGAACCTAGAACTCACCAATTCTGACTAGTCTAGCTAGCAAACGTGCCCAAGGGATCCCCGCCTCTGCCTCCTGAGTGCTGGGATTCTAGGCAGGCCATGTGGATACTGGGGATCCAAACTCAGGTCCTCACATTTGTATAGCAAGTACTTTATATAATGAGCATCTTCTCAGCCCCTGACTGTCCCTCTTTAGGAGGGTGGATCATCAGGGCCTTGAGACATTGTCTGAAAGAATCAGGCTGAGCATCCTCCCTGGAGAGAAACTGGCAGGCCCCACTTGAAGTATGAGTGGCAGCAACAGAGACTGGTCTCAAGAGGCCTCAGTCCATTTTCCTGTGCTCAGGTTTTGTTAAGGGAATTTGCTCTGAGTTTCCTATAACATAGGAAGAAATCGTAGTGTGTCACTCTGCCTGTGTCTGGATGAATTTCACCCTGGGTTCACAGTTCTAGACCCAAGTTCTAGAGAGTAATCAGAGAAGCTCCTGAGTTCACCCATCCAGCCTGCAGAAGTTGCCTAGCCAACTTCAAGAAACCCCTCTACCATTCACCACAGATACCAAGGGACCATGCCCATCTCAGGACACAGGATCATGGGACAGCTAAAAACCAGAGATGTCTTCATCTGATGTGATATGGAATAAGGAAGAAAGGAGGGAAACCCCTCCCACCAGGGTCCCTCAGGTCCTGATGCCTCCATCTCATTGCAGCTAAGTCTTGCCATGTAGCCTTGACAGATGCAAGGTGAGCTCCCAGAAGGATGACCCAGAGGCTCTCTGGCCACTTGAAGGCTCTCACCTCACAGACCAAGACCTCGGAGTGGACATAGTGGAGGTTGAGCACGTTGGGAAGGGCAATCCCCATGCCCAGGAGAGCTGCAGGTGGACAGAAGCAATCAGGTTAGTCAGAAGAGTGACATCTGTAGCCAGCCCTGTGCTGACATGTTTGTGTGCACTGGCTTTGGGAGTTGGAGGCAGAATCATCCCCATAGTATGGAAGGGAAATTATACATATGTGTGACAAGAGGCACAGGCATCTGAATCCCCAAGGCCACCCTTTAACCTTTGATCCTGGAAGAGGGTGCAGGGACTGAGACAAGGCACAAAGATAATGTGGGCTCAGGAGAGCATGAGAGAGGCCACAGGGATGGAAAGCAGGACTCACCATTGAGGTGGTCCAGCAGGGGTTTCTGGAAGACAGTGTTCATGAGTGTGTGTACTTGATCCATCTGCCATGGAGCCGAAGGGATGAGATAGGCAAAGGCCAAGAGAAGGCAGTTAGACATATAGATGGCAGGTAGAGGGAAGTGGGTGAGTCCCCCATGTCCTGGTTCAGGTGGAACCCAATCAAAGCCCCAAGTGGCCAGGCATGGTGGTGCATGCCTTTAATTCCAGCACTTGGGAGACAGAGGCAGGCAGATCTCTGTGAGATGGAGGCCAACCTGGACTATATAGTGAGTTCCAGGCCAGCTGAGGGATACAAGGAGACCCTGTCTCAAAACAAAAACAACAGCAAACAAACAACAAAAATAACCCAACAGGCTCAGCCTTTGAGGACAGGCATCAAAGCCGTGTTTGACCATGAAGGCAAAGGGGCAGTTCTGACATTCATACCAGGATGACGAACAGGAGGTCTGGCCTGTAGACCACCTATTGACAGATGGGAGATAAACTAGTAGACTGACAGCTGGGTAGAATGCTGAGGCATGACTGACAGGCTATGGGTGTGTGGGGACAAATGATGCATGCGTGGTGGCTGGGAGCCTGGCCACGTAACACGATGAAAGACTAGCCAATGTCAACTGTCCTACTGACCAATGAGCTTGGGCTGAGGGCTGAGCTGATGAATCACCTGCCAGTAAGCAAAGAGACAGGCAGCGAGGCAAGGGCAGATGGAGAGGAGGAAGACCCCTGTCCCCAAGCACCCCAGGAAAGCCCAAATATGGTGGCACTCAGGCATGTGTCACTCCCACATCCCAGGTACGTGTCACTCCCCAGACTCAGGGTAACCCAGTCCCCCACTCACATCAATGGAGCCCACGTTGGAAGTGACCACAGAGAGCTGGAGCCCCCTGAAAGAGAGGCAGGGGCTCAAGATAGGCTGGCTGCTGCACAGACTCTTGTTGCTTTGTCCCAGAACATGACAGGGCTGCTGGCTTGATCAGGAGGCCCACTTACCCCAGCATAGACGTGGTCCCCCGAAGCTTTACCTTGGACACAGAGAGCTGAAGGTTCAGGTTCACCACCTGAAGGCATAAAGAGAGCAATTCAGGTAGTATAGCACCTCATGGAGCCTTCTGCCCCTCCCCAACCCAAGCAGGCCATGGGTGTCCATGCAGCTGGCTAAATGCCAGGTCATGTGCTAAGAATCAGGAACAACAGTGTGAACAAGACAGGTGAGGTCCCTACCCTTGGAACTTCCCATAAGCAACCAAATAGGAGCTTTCCAGAAAGCAGAAGATGCCAGGAAGACAGAAAGTGATGGCCTTTTCACTCTGGTGGCCCAGAAACACCACTCTGAGGAAGGCTGAAACATTGAAGCTAAGAACTAAAATATTTCAGTCATACTGAAAGACAGAGGGCTCCACACATGCAAATGTCATGAGGCATGAATGCCCTGGTCAGTTTAAGAGCAGTAAGGAGACCAGTGTGGATAAAACAAAGCAAGTGAAGAGAACACAGAAGCATTTTATGATCTTGGAGAGCATCACCCCAACCATGCCAGCCCCACCTGACTCGCTCACTCACCACATCCAGGGAGAAGAGGGACTGTAAGGCCGAGTTGGAAGATGCAGCCAAGATCTCCACAAATGGCTGCAGCCGCAGAGTGGCGTTGCTGGTGTGGAGTGTGACCACAGGCGTGGCACCCAGCTTCACCTTGAGCACCACAGGCATGGGCTCAGGGAATTGGTGGGCCACCTGGGGCAGTGGAGGGAGAGAGGGCCTTGCTGCGGCAGGGGCTGAACAGGCTTTTGATTGTCACTGCTGGATGTTAGATATTGACAAGCCACCACACTCTGCCCCATGACAGGGCTCAGAGATAGGCCCATCTGGGACCTCTGAACCAGACAGGGGCTTAAGATCCTCAGAGAGCGTCCCTGAGCTGTTTTTATTTTGTTTTGTTTTTAAGACAAGGTCTTGCCTTGCACCCCAGGTTGGCTTTGAACTGGTAATCCTGCCAAGGACCCCCAGGTGATCTTCCAAGGTGTTGGGATTACAAGTGTGTGCCACCCAACTCTGAGCTAGGTCTTGAAGGTAGGTAGGGGACAGGAAGGAGAAGAGACAACCCAGATAGACTCACTGCAAGCAGAATCACTGCAACCAGAGGCGCAAGAAGAAAGCGTGGCTGCCCAGGAGGGGCAGTCTCTAAACTCAAGAGACAGAGTCAAAGGGCAGGTCTCCTTGGGATAGATGGAATACAGAGAAGCCCCGCTGCAATTCCCAAGCCTCCAGCCTAGAAAAAAACAAGTGTCACCCACCTCAGGAATGAGCTGGCCCAGTATGGAGGTGTTCAGAGGGTTGTTCTTGGAGTTCTGAAATAAGCCCCCAACCATGGCAGGGTTTAAGACAGTTTTTTCCCAGGCAAGGCTATCACTTGGCTCATGTACAGGGATTCTTATCCATGGGCCCCAGTCAGTTTTTCCAATGGCTCTCCTGTGACTCCAACTCCAGTTGCCTACTCCCTTTGATTCCACATCTGCAGGATGCCCTGAGGCTAGGCCATGGGGAATCCTGCTGTAGACCCTAAGCAATAGTCCAAATCCTCACCAGCTGCCCTGTGATGTCCAGGTTGAGGGAGCCAGCCTTCTGTAGCATCAGGAGGGCACAGTCAAACAGGTGCTGGGAGAGGCCCACAGTGGCCATGGCACCCTCTTTACCAGAAGACCATGGCAATACGAAGGGGTCAGCATCATGCAGAGGCAGGAGGATAGGCTTGCCCAGGAGGAAGAGGGAAGCCTGGGTGGAGGCAGGAGACATGCAATAGGGCATCAGAAGCAGACCCCCCCAGCTGTGATGCCTCAGAGTCGTGTTCCCACCTGGAGCACCATCCCACCATCCCACCTTCCTTCTTTTACCCTCTGCCTTCTTAGGAATGTTCCAGGACACCAAGGACCCCAGGCACTCCTGGCCTGCAGTACTGGGATGACCAGGAGGCACTTACTCTGACATCCAAGGACATATAGTCGCTGGTGATGGTAGGTACGCTGGTCGTAGAGTAGCGGATCTGGGACTCCGGGCCCACAGGGGTGAGGCCTTCATGAAAACAAGGTGGCACTTGAGTACTGATCCTCCTACTGAGCCAGCAAATGAAGTTATCCAACTACCTTTCCTAGTCAGAGCCAGGCCGCAAAGCCACGAGCCAGACAAGGGCTCCTAGGAGGCACGTACTCGATTCTGCCATGCACACACACAGCCTATTGATTAACCAATTCTAACAGGTATGTTTGTTGCTTTTCCAATCAATGAAACACTAGTGAGTCTGAGAAGGCTCAGTCAAGGCACAAATACCATCTAATGGAGGCAAGAAGGATGCACAGAAAAAAAAACCCAGACAGTGACTTCCACTGTCTCTGTTTCTCATCACCACAAGTCTTTTAAGTTATTATACACACACGTGCACACACAAGATAGTCAGCTGATTCTTGCCCAAGACAGCATCGACATACCAGTCTGCCTCCAAGGCTCTGATCTCCATCTAATCACACACCTCCTACAGGGACTGCAAAGTTTGTGCAAAGGCGCAGAACTCACTTCCATACAGAGCTGTAGAGCAGCTCTCAGGGAAGCACAGCTAACAGCTCAAAGAATGGGGTGTGAGTCTACTGAAAGACCAGAATATTCTGCCTAGGAAGGTTATGAAGGTGAGCCACTGTAGGCAGCACATCTCCAAATTCCAAATATCTGAAGGTGGCTGCAGGTGTGGCAGGCCAAGGTCCCGTGAAAGCCCAGCTCAGGTTAGTCATATGAGCTCACAGCAATGGTGATAGCATGCACCCTCATAAGCTCAAGCCAGACAAAACCCCAACATGGGGAAGTGGGTAAGAAACCCCAACCCCAGCTGAGGAACTGTTGGCGACCAATGGCTGCTGGGAAAGGCAGAGTTAGTCTCATTTAGGGGTGAGACTCTTGGTAGGTTGAATAGGCTCCATACTGAAGGGCATTTGGGGACACAAATTTGACTCTATAGGCATATATATCTACACACTCTATATACAATAAAGTACATAAGATTGAGCAGGAGGTTTGGGGAAACAGAAGATACAAATGGGGAGGGGATCTAAATTTGATCAAAGTATATTGCGTGAAATTCACAAAAATTTTACTGTAATAAAAACAGAGCAGTTAAATAAGTTGCGTGAGGTTATGTAATCAATAGTCTAGGTGTACATGTCTCACATAACCATCCTACAGGACTGGCCACTTAGATGCCCTTTATTAGATCTTTTTATTCCCCAAACATAAAGGCAAGAGCTGATGTTTGCAATAAACACGATTGCAGGGCACCTTGCTGAAGACAAGCCTTCTGAGGAAGAAGGGAAGAACGCACACTTACTAAGCTTGTCAGGCCCCAAGCACTTAACCAGTGCTCTCTTTCAGCATTAACACATTAGAGAACTAGGAATTCTCTTTCGTATTTTTTTGGATGGAATGCTGTGGTTCAGAGAGATGGAGTGACTTCCCTAAGGTCACACAGCATGTGAGCAATAAAGTTGTAATTCAAATGTGTGCCTTTTAATTCCAGCCCAGTTGCCTCTGAATAGGAAGGGAAACAGGGAAGTTGAGGAGACAAGATAACTCCAAAGTGGCCAGAGCAATGAATGGATGTGTGAGAGGGAAAAGCATTGTGGGCCAGTCCCTGCTGAGGACAGGGCTCTCGAGCCTCTGCTTTGCCATTATAACCTGGGGTCAATGACAACAGAGCATTTCCACTAAAGGGCCCACTGTGATAATGGCAGACGTGCCCAATGTCCCTGGTATAACCCAGCCTATATACCCTCCCATCTATCCCCTGACACTATCCACTGCCCCTGACTGTTTCCCTGAGTCAAAGCCAAGCACAGTCAGGGAAGCTCCCAATTTTTAAGGCCAGAGGCAAAGACAGTGTCAGGGCAAAACTATCAGGCAGATGCAGCTTCAAAACAGGTTCATGAGAAAAGTGACAAAGCCCTTGGTAAGCCTCAGACTGAGCAGGCTCCATGAAGAGGGAGGTTGTGCAGGATCCACAGAGAATATAATGTCCCCAAGAGAGCAGGTACAGCTTCTGTGGCTAGTCCTTAACTACCGATGCCTGTGACTAAAGAGAATGTGGGATGGACCCACTCTCCAGCCTTCAGATCCTTCCAGAGCTTGTCTAGAAGGCCACCTTCCAGGGGTTTCAATCAGGTGGGAGTGGAGTGACGGTCAGTGTGGAAACAGTGAGAAGTCCTGGGAAGTGGCCTGTGACAGCTGGAGTTGGTAGATGAGTACTCAAGTTTCTTGCATACAAAAGCCTGTCCACCCAGTCTCTAAAAGCACCCCAGTGGAACTAGGCTGTAGCTGCCCATTTTAGTTTATCAACTCAGAAACCAGCACTAAGGACTACACAGTCCCCAGGGGAACAGGCATGTATGTGTCATTTCAGAGAGGGCCACAGAATCAACACCTAACTACCCAGGTAAAAGATGCATGTCCCTCATACTCATAAGCCACCTCATGACAACCCAAGTGAGCCCTGAGCCTTGCACAGTACCTGGCTACCTCTAGTGACATACACATCCCTCACCATACCTGCCTCCCTGTGATGGCTCAGGAAGATTCCCAGAAGTTTCTGAGGTTCCCACCCAACTTTAGAGATCTAGCTCCTAAAATGCTGCAGCTTCAGAGCTGGAGAGATGGCTCAGTGGTTAAAAGCACTTGCTGCTTCTCCAGAGGACCTAAATTCAGTTCCCAGCACCCATATTAGGTGGCTTACAACTGCCTATAACTCCAGCTCCAGGATATCTGACACCCTTCTGACTTTAGTTACTACCTGCACATAAGTAGCATACACTCACACAAACACATACATAAATAATTAAAATTTTTTAAATAAAACAAAATGCTGTCACTCTGACACATAAATGATTCGAGACCCTGAAAGTCAGTGGGGCTAAGTTTCTCCAATAGCAAGATTCATCATTTAAAGATTTGGGTTTATTTTTCTTTTCAGCAAGTTGATCTAAAATCAATAGAGTCTAGAATCAAAGACTTGGTTCTGGAATTTGGAAGTTGCCAGATTCCATGAATAGCCCTGTGGTTTGGAGATTCCTAGGTCAGCCCCCCTCAACGGACCTCCTTTTACTCAGATTAATAGAAAAGTTAATATTGTATTGCTATTTAGAATCTGAAGCAGGCAACAAATATCACTTTACTGGTGCAAAGGGGCACCTTTGATGGATCTTGGGGCCCACAGGTCCAGCCTTCCCACCCCCTGGGCTCCAAGTCTTACCAATTAAGGTGCCCAGGTGAACATTGAGATCCTGAACAAGGCCAGAGATGCACAGGCACAGCTGTGACAAGAGAGAGGAGGCTATGGTGAGGTGCCCCAAAGGCTGCAGGTGAAAGTCAGCAGAACTGCAGTTCCCTGCAATAGCCCACCAGAGGCTCCCCAGGCTGCATACTGAGCCCGAATCCCTTCCTTCTCCTCCCTGCAGTGGTTGGCTTCCAGACCTCTTTGGGCACTGAGGAGCCAGGAGAAGCAGCCAAAGCCTGGTGAGGGGGACACAGGCACCCATGGGAAGAGACTACCAAGATGGCCATAGCCAGACTGACTGAAGCAAGAAGATTTCTCGGGGCCCAGAGCACCAGCTGATGAGAAAGTATGCCTGTGGAAGGGCAGGCAATGGTCAGCAGGCCACGGCAGGTCAGGCTTCAGGGGCTGGGCCAAGAAAATGAAAGTCCTTCCTGGCCTAGTGGGCACCACCAGGGGAGCACTGAGCTCAAGTCGGATGACAGCAGGTGGGGACAGAGGAAAGACTCCAAGGGAGGGGCACTGGCAGCTGCAAATGCTGTGGGCATCTCTGAGGTGGAGATAGCACACACCGGGTAGTTTTGGTCTCTGCTACTGCCCTTATGGGGAGGGCTGGGCCAGGCCAGGGAGGGAAAGCCTGTTCTCTGGCAGTGGGACACTGGTCCAGGGTCACCATCTCTCACCAGGTTAGAGACATGATATAGCCAAACCTAAAATTTTAGCCAACCCAGCAGACTAGCTCTGTAGGCCCCCTCCCCAACCCAGGCCCCGCCCCCTCACTCTGAATTCTTCTATGTGCACACACATGCATGCACTCACATGCACATCAATCTGTAGTACTTCCACATACCAGGGCTTAAAGCCCTACTTTTCACTTATCAGGCCTTCTAAGTTAAGCCATCTGCAGAAGTCCCTTACCTTACTGTTCAGGTCAGCTTTGATGTGCTCCTGCACCGGGACCAACAGCTCCTGGGAGGTGCTGGGGAAGAGGCACAGAAAGTATGCCTGAGTTCTCTGGGCCTGGCTCTTGGCAGAGCCACATGAATGACTGAGGCAGAGACTCTGTCCTCAACCAGATATCCCCACCTGAGACCCTGGCAGGTGGTAGACACAGAATAATGGTCCCTCTACACACAGAGGAGAAACCTGAGTTTCAGAGAAGATCCTTCCTGTCAAGGAGGTGGTAACTGAGGCCAGGCTCAGGGAAGGACAGGGGCATATCCTCAGCCAGCTGGCTTCAGGGCTGCTTGGGTCCCAGTAAGAGTGGAGAGTGGGAATAGAATCCTGGGTCCACTTCTCACTTTGGATCCAGTGCCCAGGCACATGCCTTACAAAGTCCCTGCTTAGCTCTGGCCCCCAGTTTCCCCTCTGTATGAGGCATGAATCTAAAGTTGGGTTTCTCAACAGTAACCCATAGGAACCTGTGGTTCCTTGGTTTGACCCCAGCCACAGCCACCTTCCTGGGAAATGGGAAGACACATCTCTGTTTTGACAACATCAATCCTGGGCTTCTACTTCAGCAAATTGGAGCAGCCCATATCTGTCAGGACCATGAGGGACCCAATGTATTTGGATGCCTGTGCATGTATCCTTCTCTGGGGAAAATGTTAGGCCTTGTTGGATCAGGGCACACTTCTTTTGGGGTTCCCTAGTGCTCGACCACCTGACTCTGGGAAAGGGGCAGGCGTAATTAGGGAGGTCCCGGGCAATAGGATGGGCAGGCTGTCTGCTCCAAGTCAGTCAAGTCACTTCCATGCCCTTGGCCTGCATCTATTTCCTGCGGCATTGGGAACTTATATGCCTTTTGTCAGATACTGTGGAGCTTGTGAGGATGATTCCTGTGAAGAGCCAAGAGTGGAATCCACCACCAGCTGGAGGTGATGGCTGCTGTTAGCTTCACATGTCAACTTGAACAGCCACCTGCCACAGAGACCTTGGCCAGCTGCCACATCCCCGTCCCCCACCTCTGCAAGGAGGGGCAGCCTCTGAGCACCCAACAGCCAGGCTGATTGGCCTAGAGAAACATGTTACTGGCCAGAGTGCCCTGGTGGCTGATACATGGCAGTGGCCAAGACATAAGCTGTATGACTTTAGACAAGTCCCTGCCCCTCTCTGAGCCTTGGTGCTTAGCCATGTTCTAGGCATAACGATTGGGTCTCTTCAGCACTTTGTGACCACTGGACAAAGACTTGAATGAGAAACTCAAGAAATGGTGCCATAGCCTTGGTATCAGAGACTCCTGAGATCCAGGGCTCCCAGGAACCTACCTGTTACTGCTGGCCAGCATGCTGGCTGGGCTGAAGAGTGACGAACAGGTGGAGATGCTGAGCACAGGTGTCCCAATAGAGTCTTGGGCCACGTGCACATCGGCCATCAGTGACACAGGCAACACCAGCTCCAGGGGTTCCGGGACACTGCGGAAGGCAGACCTGAGCCCACCCTAGTACATGAAGACTCCACAAATCCCCAAGCATAAGCCATCCCTCCACTTGACATAGGCACTCAACAGGAGACAGCCCTACCACAGGGCAGCCCTAGAGCCTCTGGAAACCACTCAGGATCACAGATATCATAGCAGATAGGCGGGGCTCAGGCTTTCTGTGCCCCTCATAGTAGGGCCCTGGGGCAGGCACCCTGAGGCCAGGGTGAGCCTCAGTTCTCCCTTCTGTGAATGGGCATGAACCAGTAGTACCTGCTTCACAGTGCTGTGCTGAGCTTTCCAAGGCCTCACGCTGTGAGGACACCAGCTGCAAGCCTGACCACAGAAGGTACCCAGAACACTTACAACATCACAGCACTGGGGAACACCCACAACATCCCCAGCACCAGGCAGCACTCACAACATCACAGTGCTAGGGAACACTCACACTATCACAGCACTGGGGAACACGCACAACATCCCAGCACTGGGAAGCACTCACAACATCACAGCCCCAAGGAACATTCACAACATCACAGCACCAGCGAGCACTCAAATCACCAAAGCACCAGGGAGCACTCATATAATCATAGTGCCAGGACAGAGCAATAAGGATAAAGGGTTCCTTGAAATGCCAGCTCACAGCTTGGATATTTAGTGCAGTTACACAGAAGTTGACTGACACACCAAAATAATGCTGATAACTACATTAATTGAGCACCTGTTGTGTACTTTGCACTTTGGAAAAGGCCAGAAGTCATAACTAAAGCAACACATCCACCCAATGCAACCCTCACAGCCACCTGAAAAGTGCAGCCCGTATCAGATGAGGAAACAGAGAGTTGGGAAACTGAAGCACCTCCACCAATCGCACACTATGGGGCAGGGACTGTGGCCTCCAAGATTCTCTCCCTGTCTCACTCCCCCAGAGAATGAGAGAGAGGGGCACGGAGAGGTGGCTATCTCCCCTCCCCTCACTCTTCCCATGAAGAGTCCCTGAAACTCCTGTCATCCAACAAGGAGATTCACTCACCGAAAGATTTTGACAGTGAAATTGGCTGTTGCTGATAAGCGTACCCCAAAATCAGCAATGAATTTCAAGTGGAGATGGGGCACGTGGACATCCAGAATCTGAATCCTGAGGGTTAGAATCCAATTGGCAAGAGAGCCCCCATTAAACACAGAATTAACTCTAGGGAGAGTTCCCTGAGCCAAACCCATATGTTGATGTTATCAAGAAGGACTTTCTGACAAGTGGACCTGAGGCAAGAGAGTGGTGGTGAGCTCTCCAGCACAGGAGGTAAGCAAGATGCTCAGCTTGGAAGGTAAACACAAAGTCCTGGCCTTGGGCAGGACTTAGAGACATGATTGTGAAGCTTTCTAACACTTTCTGACAGTGGCCTGGGAAATAAGAAGTTATGGAGAGACCTCGAGTTCCACCTAACTCAGAAATCTCTAGAGTGTATAGCCATTACCTTTGGCTTCTTGCCCTCCAGCAACAGGAAACCCCTTCCTCCCCAAGCTGCCTGTTCTGATTGCTAAGCTCTCTACAGCAGCCCTATGACTGTCTTTTTTCCTAAGTGAAAATCATTTTCTCCCTGCATAGTAGCTGGCAGGGCTGGGGTGGGGATGATTCAGTCACTAAAACATGGCCGGAAATACAAAGGTTGCATCCAACATCACCTTCAAATGCCTCGTATTTAGACTTGGGTAACATGGATCCATGACTGTCCCCAGCACACAGGCCCCTGCTAGGTAGATACTTCTGGGGAGTGCTCCTATCCACTGGGACAGTGCTCTGAACTATCAGGCAAGCACATGTATCTACAGATGAGTGCCCCTCCCCAGGTTAGAGGTTCCTACTCATTAGGTGAGGGGTTATGAGAGGACTTGGCAGATGGGATCAAGATGGAGACAGGGCCTCGGCACCCCTCAATCAATGGACTCAGGGGACTTTGTGTTCCCACAAGGATGAATTGTTCTGTCTATTTGACGTGTTGAAGTTTGGGATAGCTCCTTTGAGTCTCTATGCTTTAAGGTGGTGAGGATGTAATTACACTTGGACTCATGTATAAACTTGGTGTCAAGCATTTAGAGGAAGAAGCTGATAGTTCTGCTGGCTCTGTAGCCCCTAGGGCCACAGTCTGAGCCCCTGAGTCCATTGATTGAGGGGTGCCGAGGCTGTCTCCATCTTGATCCCATCTGCCAAGTCCTTTCATAACCCCTCACCTAATGAGTAGGAGCGTCTAACCTGGGGAGGGGCACTCACCTGTAGATACATGTGCTTACCTGATAGTTCAGAGCACTGTCCCACTGGATAGGAGCACTCCCCAGAAGTATCTACCTAGCAGGGGGAGCATTCTTGCAAGGCTTATTCAGGATGCTCCTCTTGGTGAGCCAAAACACCCACTTGGCCAGCAGGAACATCCCATCGGCTAGAAGGAGCACCTGAGCACTTTTTCTGGAGAATGGGAACACTCACCTGGTAAGTTGAAGCACCTTATTGCTCTGGTCAAGAAAATCAGGGACAGTAAACCGTAGGGCCCGATGGAGAGAGGCTTTCCCGATGTCCGACACTGTGGGACCACAGCAGGGTGAGGTTAGGCTCCCCCTGGAGCCTCCAAGCAGGGAGAACACACAGCTTGCCACCTGCCCCCCCCCACCTCTGGTGGAGACACTAGAAGGGACAGGAGTGGAGTAGCAGGTGGGAGGACAATTGCTCCACGCAGTCCCACACTGCTGTTCACATGGTCTTTCCAGCTCCCACCTCTACCCCCAGAAACCATGGTTCTTCATCCCATTCCTCAAAGACAGTAAAATCCTTAGGCCTTCTTGCAGGGCTCCATCTGGGCTCTAGCTGTTCCCAGAGCTTTCCCCAGTCCCCAGGCAAAAGGAGCCACCCACCAGGCCCGGCCTCAGAGGAGACATTCCCTGGGAGGGGAGTCGGGGCAGCCTCCCATCACATATGCACCTCAGGTGCTGGGTACAAATTCCAGCTGTGCTATTAGTGAACACTGCCTGTGTGGCTACTCTGTGCCATGCTTTCCCAATCTAAAATGTGCACTAATTAAAACACCTGTTCTGAGCTCATTCCTCTGTTCTTATGGCCAGTTTACAGGGAGGTGAGGGCACCAAGACACATGAAGGTGGGTCTGGATGAAGGAACCTGACTCCTGCTGACTTCGCCCTCATCTGTACTGCTAGGTCCTTGTTGCTAAGACAGATTGAATTAAAAAGAGAAATGGTGGTTCTGGAAGGAACCATGAAATTAAGAGTCAAGAGACTGGCATTTGGCTCAGATTCACTGGCATGGTGAAAAATCCTTGAGCCTCTCCGAGCCTCAGTTTCCCCCAGACAAGGAGTAGAAAGGTTATGGTCTCCCTGCTCCTGATGCCCACTCCAGCCTGGCCATCTGTGGCTAAACTGAGCCTCACACCCAAGCTGTGAACTCTTTCCACAGTACTACTTGACACAGGGCCTGCACTCTGGGGCTTCAGGGTAGGGAGGAAAGGATTCAGGACCAAGCCATCCATTCAGACTTGGAAGCCTTGTGGACTTGTGGGCCTCCTGCCAGATTTCAACCCACCGAGAACAAACAGGCAGATGAACCAGTGAGGCCTGAGGACAAAGGAGTCCTGAATAGAACAAGCAGAGAGTGGGAAAACTGCCCAGGGAGGCCATCCTCAGGTCCCTGCCTCAGGCATCTGTTCCCACTGTGTACAAGCTACACTACTGCACGGATCACTGACCACTTGCATTGTCTGTATATCTGCCCGGATGCAAGGTCCTGGAATGTGCTTTGGGAGTAACTACTGACTCACTGCTTTGTGCCCTGGCCACTAAAGTCCCTTCTCCAATCTGGCTGGAGTCCTTCACACTATAATCTGAATTGAATCTGACCTTTGGGGAAGTAGCTGACCCAGCTTTGATGGAACCCCAAAAGTGCTCTGAGAGACAGCTAGGGGAAAAGAAAATTTTCTATGCTGGGATCTTGGACTTTGGAGACTTTGTTTCGCCTTGGGGGCCTCAGTTTCCTCACTATGACCTTCCCTGGGGAAGGGGGCAGGACCTGGAAGGACCTAAGAGTAATGCCATAGGGCAGAGGCCTGTCCCAGAAGAGCACAGAGTGCCTGGCTGTCTACTACTGAGCCCCTTAGAGTCCAACTTCCGGCCATTCCCTGCAGTGCTGTGCTTGACATGTCTCTACTGGGCACCTGTGTGAACACAAACACCACACAAGCACAGGCATGCACTCAGGGTGTACAACCACACCTGTAAGCACACATTCACACACATGCAACAGACACATACCTTCCCCAATGCCCAAGTATACAAGAAGCACATCTCCCTGGAACTCCAAACTCATGAAAACACACCGAGAAAATGGGCCGAGGCAGAAGACATGAGAGCTCGAGGCTAGCTTGGGCTACCCAAGGGGACTCTGCCTCAAAATTTTTTCTTAATTTTAAAAAGAAAAAAAAAGGTTTTTAAAATTTTTTAAAGATAAATCACTTTTAAGCCTAAGCCCACACAAGGCACATAACCATCCATTGATCAGTGGAACACAATGGCACATACAAACCCAGGTCCTCTGCTGGGTGTGGTGATACACACCTGTGATCACAGTATCATCGGTTCTCAGCCAACCCAGGCTGGGATCAAGCTCACTGGTAGAACACTTGCCTGCTGTGCGCAAGGCCCTGGGTCCCATCCCCAGCACCACAAAAAGGAAAAAAAATATCCAGTTCCTCAGGAATATTTGTGTTCACAGACACATACTCACTTATAACCAGGTATGTGTTCAAGCATGGCTCTCATGTACACACCCAGTAGCAAGTTGACAGGTCTCTTACCATAGCTCAGTGCTGCCTTGTTGAGTCGGACCACGATGCCAGGCAAGGAAGCACTGGCCACAGCCAGCAACAGCATCAGCAGCAAGCCCAGACTGCATGACCCAGCCATGGCTGCCTTGACCAATGCACCCAGGATCTGTGGGCCAGGGTGGTTACAAGCATTGGTGAGTTGACCAAAATGTCCCATCATGGGCACTCACACCTTATCCCATGCTGTGCCTCTGTGGAGTGGGCCCAAATCCCCATTTTTGTGTTTCTGTGCTGGTAAATACCTGATTTGTCAGGAACCATGGGAGAGTCTGGTCTAGAAATGACTAAGAACTAGAGAAGAAAGGCATGGCTCTCCTGAGGCCACAGGGCAGACTAGGGACAGGTACAAGACCCAGTCAGTTCAGAAAGGGACAGTGAGACAGGGAGGTAGAGGCAAACTGCTTGTCCTGTGAGGGAGGCCCGGGCCTAGCACCCCACAGCCCAGGCCTGTGTTATATGAAGCCAAGAATTCAGCCCAGTATGATAGACCAGTCTGGTATCCAGATGTCCAAACACTGACAGGGAGGATTCAGGGTGGCTCCCATCTCCATCTCATTGTAACGGGTGAGGAATGACCTGACAGTGACTGAGCCTAATGGGCAGATATGTACCCAGTGAAAGACGGGGCCTCATCCCAACTGTGTCCTGCAATTCTCTAATGGTGATAGCTGAAGTCCACATTCCCCACAAGGCCAGGGACAGATGGAGCCTGCTGCAGGAGGTAACTGGAGGTGGCATCCCAGTAGACGAGAGGGAGGAGTAGCTGCCCAGACCATCCCTACCTCAGCAGTTCTTGAGGAGGGTAGGTGCTCAGCTCCTGACAAGGCTTCCTCTGCCTAGGTGGGCAGGTGCACAGGCAACTTTATGAGCTCCCCACTGCAGCCCACAGACCACAGGGCAGGAGCAGGGCCAGTTTGCTTGTGGTTGAAAGTGTTTTCCCTGCAAACATGACCTTGTCAAGTGTCTCCGTTCCCTGTGTGATGGGTCTGCCACGTACACAGGTGTGGTTGCCAAGTGCTGAGAGACCCTGGAGTTGGGAGGCTTTGGCTCAAGAGCCCAGAAATCTATGGATGGAGGGTTCTTCCCAGGAGCATCCCCTCACCACCCCAGCCAGGCCCAGCAAAGGTACAGGAGCAAAGAATGACCAAAAGTAAGGGGATGAATAGCCATGATGGCCCCTCAAGCCTTGTGTCTCCAAGATTTTCCAGAAACATGACCCTTTTAGGAAAGGCAAGAGGCTGTCTGAGCCCCAATCCTCAACACTAACCCCTGATCCTGGTCACACACTGAGCCTTCACTCAAGAAGGAACAGAAGACAGTGTGACTGACCCAGTACCCCTGTCACACCCAGGGCTCTCCAAATGCACACCTGTGCACAGTGGGCATAACCCATCATCTGTCTGCCTCATTAACTCCAAAGTCATCTGAACTACATGGGACATGGGAAGGGTCATGTGGGCACATGAGGAGTTCACATATACACATATGTGTGAGAGAGATGTCCTGTGTATGAGCATGGGGCTGCATGTGCAGTTACATGTGTATAAACATGTAACTGTTATCAGAGGAAATTGAGTATCTGTGTGAGGCTTGTATGTGGCAGAGCATCTTGACATCTTGGTCACATGCCAATTTACATGCATGCTGTAAGGATAAATGTGAAGAGTTCTGTGTATACGTATGTGGGGATTGTTGACTAAAGTTTTTGTGGGACAACAAGTCTAGGTGCCTGTGTATATTTAAGTACAGTGGACTGCTTCCTAGGGTCAGGGTATGTGTGCGCATATCTTCAAGTGTGTACATCCACATAGGCAGCGACGGTCTAGGTACAAGAAAGTCCTTCTATCTTTCGAGACTCACATGGATCAAAGACCTTGAGGACTTCCCTGACTCCAGAGCCCTATGTGGCACCCACTGGCCACACCAGCCCAAATACCAGCCCAGGCCCACCTAGGTTTGAGTCCCCACTAGCACCCACAGAGCTGACAGGGACTGCAGACACTAAGTACTCCTAGAACAGATCTGCTTCACAGCCAGTGCTCCTGGCCCTGGTCTTGGAGGCAGGAAGAATGGGGAGGGCTGACTCAGAGGTCGTTAATCCCCCACTCCTGGCAGTGGTTTGTCCACGATGCTCAAGACCAGTGCTCTGAATCACTCGTCAGACTCAGTGGAAAGAGGTGCAAATATTGACCAAAGCCACTCTTAGTGTTTGCTTTTGACATGAATACTTCCTCTTCTTCTGCACTTCCAGCACAAAGGACACTTGGGTGATACCCAGGTGACACAAAAGAAGAATCTTCACCAGCACCTCCCCAGAACCTACAGCTCCCCCTCAGCGATGGTGAGCCCCACTTGCCAAACACCTCCTATATCAAAGTGTTCGGCCAGCCACTCTGCCTACAGCTCCAAGGAGAGGCGTTCTCCTGGGCAACTTTCTAACCAGTGCCTGAAATGTACAAATTGCTAAATAAATGTCTGTTGAATGAATGAACTGTTGAAAGACCTTATAGTAACTAGTAACAGGATTTCTGAGTGTCCCCTTCACTGGACATTCTTGGGGACTGCTATGACAAATCACTGCATACATAGAAAACTTAAAACAAAATTTTACCATCTTCTTTTCTTATTTTTCTTGAGACAGGTCTCATGGAGCCCAGGCTGGTCTTCGATTTGCTATGCAGTCAAGGATGATCTTGAGCTTCTGATCATCCTTCCTGTACCTCCAGTGTGTCACATGTATTACCATAACCCGTTTTATTGAGTGCTGGGGATAGAACCCAGGTCTTCATGCATGCCAGGCAAGCACTCCATCAACTGTGCTAAATTTCCCAGCCCCAAGTCCATCCTTCACAGTTCTGGAGGTCAGCAGTTTAAAGCGAGTTCCACTAGGCAAAAATCACTGACTACTGGCAGAGTTGCATTCCTATGCTAGACCACACCACAGGAAAGGAGCTGTTTCTTGGTTTTCTTCAGCCCGGTTGGGTCACCCTCATTCCTTAACTCCTGGCCCTTCCATCTCCAAAGCCAGCTAGAGTTTTTTTTTTTTTTTTGCGGGGGGAGTTCTGTTTTGTTTTGGTGTGGTTTGGTTTTGGGTTTTGTCTTTTTGCGACAAGGTCTTCCTGTAGCCCCAGCTGGCCTGGAACTCACTCTGTAGACCAGGCTGGCCTTCAACCCACAGAAATCTGCCTGCCTCTGCCTCCTGAGTGCTGGGATTAAAGGCGTGCGCCACCACACCTGGCTGATTTACTCATTTTTATTTGTGCAAATGTTTTGTTTGTACAAGTATCTACACTGGTGTGTGCTAGTGCCTGGGGAGGCCAGAATGGAGCAACAGGAGCAACAGAGCCACCATGTGGGTGCTGGGAATCAAACTCAGGTCTTCTGGAAGAGCAGCAAGTGCTATTAACCTTGAGGCCACCTCCCCAGCCCCTGGAGCTTCCTACAGTGCCATCCCAGTCTTCCTCTTCACCCGTGAGGACTCTGTGAAGCCCTGGACCTACTGGGTAATCTAGGTTCTTCTCTCCATCTCAAGGTTATCTGATCAGCAGCCTGAGTTCCTTCTGCTAGCCTCAGCAGCTCTTGTCCTGCAATTTAACAGATCCAAATGTTCAGCTTGGGGACCACTATTCCATTTCCCACTGGTACCTACTTAGCCTGCAATTCTGAGCAATGGCCACCTGGGGGCAAAAGTGACTTCATCTCAGTTTCACAGTCCAAACGGTCAGGCTCTCTTCCATCAGGGGAAAAAAAAAAAATCTAGTCAGATTTTTCCACTGTTATGTTTTTATTTTTCCCAGCAAAAAAAAGAAGATGTTTATTACAACCGCAGCATAAAGGATTTTTTGATGCAAGCATTCACCAGTAAACCCAACATTACAAAATCTATTCACTTGCTCAAGAGGGCAATAAGCCCAGAAAGCTTGAAGCAGCAAGGGGTCTCAGGAACAAGAAAAGTGGCCTAATCAGGAACCTCCTGTTCTTGCCTTTGCCCAGCCTCTGAGGTCCTTACAGCTTCAATTTTCCCATCTTAAAAATGGAAGTCAGTCACAATGGTGTCCTCCAAGGGGAGGTTCTGGAGCCAGGATCAGGCTGGGTGCTCTCCCACCCACATGCTCCTGTGAAGTCACAGAGCTGGCAATTCCACCTGACCCTGTAGATTCCATGTCACCTCCCAGGGGTCCTCAGAGGTGCTAGTGGCAGCAGTCACTTCCTCCAAATTGACTCCAGAGATCTCCAGCATCATCCCTCGGTCCTAAAAAAAAAAAAAAGGAAATCGATGCCCCGACCCTCAAGGAACCCCAGGGACCCATGTTCCCCATCTGAAGACGTGGCCCACAGTTCCAGGCACAGACGGTGAGGCCAGCAGCCCCTGCCTTTTCCCAGTCCCTTACAAGTCACACACAAAAAAGCAGCCCTCTCACTCTCCTTGGAATAAGCAGGTCTTATCAACTGTGCTTACAGAAGTAGGAGCTGATGAAAGAGAGGCTGTCAGTGGCTTTCCCAAGTTCTCCATGCCTGGAAGTGGCAGAGAAGCCATACTTTCAGCATGTATTTATTGAGTACCTACTGTGTGCTAGACACTGCCTAGAGTATTTGGAGTATAGCACTGCACCAATCCCACACACTCACTACCCTAGTGCAGCTCATGCCAGGTTGGAGACGAGGGAATACCTCTACCCTTTTCATCAGGAAGTATCTGGTTGCAGGTGACAGAAATTCCTACTTAAAATTGTGCCAATTTCCACAAGGGCGCACAAACAAGCCATGGTGAAAGGAATTCTTAAAACTTGAATGTGTATTTTTTTAGCTCTTCACGTCTCTAATTTTAAAAACATTTTTATTTTAATGTCCATGAGTGTTTTGTCTGCATGTATGTATGTACACCATGTGCATGCAGTGCCTGCAAAGGCCAGAAGAGGGCGTTAAATCCCCTGGAACTGGAGTTACAAATGGTTGTGAACTGTCATGTGGATGCTGGGAACTGAACCTGGGTTTTCTGAAAGAGCAGCCAGTGCCCTTAACCACTGAGCAATCTCTGCATCTCCTCTCTTTTTTTTTAAAATTGACACAAATGATTGCGCATGTGTGTGTGTGTGTGTGTGTGTGTGTGTGTGTGTGTGTGTATTGGGTGCAATGTGATGATGTGGTACATGTGTTTATGTGTAATGGTGAAATCAGGAAAATGTGCAGATCATTGTATTGAGAACTTCAAGTTCCTCTCTTATTCTGAGACACACTAGTTTTCCTACCACACCATATATTCCTCAGGAATTATAAATTAAATTTACATTTGGGAGCGGTCAATAATATGCTAGCACAGCAGGGCACTATGCGAGACAGTTTTCTATCACTATAACAAAATACTTGTGATAATTAACTTATAAAGAGAACAGGTTTGCTTTGGTTCATGATTTGAAGTGCTAATTCACGATCAAGTGCCCTGTTGCTTTCTGTGGCAACACATCACGGCAAGAATATGTGGGGAGGATACTCACCTAATGAGACAAAAAGATAAGAGGAAAGGAGGAAGAAAATGGGGACCCACAATCCCTTTCAACATTATGTACCCAATGCTTAAGGAACCCCAGTAGGCCCCACCTCTTAAAGGCCAAAATCCACCACCCAGGAAAACAGTGTTTTAATACATCTGGGGGACATTTAACATCCAGCCTGTCCTAGTTTGCTTTTCTGTTGCTGTGATAAACACCATGACCAAAAGCAACTTGGCAAGAAAAGGGTTTATTTCACTTTACAACTCCCAGCTCTCTGTTGTGCGGAGACCAGGGTCCTGCTGGTATATTGCTATTCCTTTTAGCATCCTCTTATGGTAGGTCACAGAGCTACTGCAGGGCCAGCATTGTGTAGAAGGGTGGCTGCCTAGGGAGGAGAGTGGGCCTCCTTTCAGCAAAGAAAATCTTTCCCCAGTCCCACACCCTCAGAGCCACCCACGCCATCCTTCCCCCAACCCTCCTTGAACCAGAAACTACAAAGGGAATTGGGGGGGGGGGAGACTCACAACAGTCTTTGACCAGTCAGGTTCATCTAAGATCAAATGGGTTGCAATGTAGAAGGCAGCAAAGCTAGGCTTCTGCTAATAAGAAGCGGTGGCTTTTGGGTGGGTCACTCAAGAGACTCCTCAGTACCCAGAGTCCTTGACTGGATTTGAAGTCAACCAGAGCCATTCCATCCCTGGTTCACAGCCTGCTGTCTCAGCAAACGTCCCTTCTGCCAGGCTTCTCAATCTGAAACATGGTGGCATCAGGGACCATGTAAGATGTAAATGTGATTGTGAACCTTGTCATCCTCAGGTGCAACCCACGAGGTCAAAACACCAACAGAGCAGCAGAGGCATCCTCAGCAAACATAAGTGAGCCAAGAGGCAATCCTAGGACTTCCTGGGTTTCCAGAAAGAAGTGGGGGTAAAGGGATAGGGAGGTACACACCAAGCCTGGGGCCCCAGATCTCTGCAAGCACACGTCCCAAGGCTGGAAGATACCTGATGGTCTGTGCTCTCTGCAGATGATGCTCCCCTGCTGCCTCTCTGCATCAACACCCCGGGCCTCAGCCTGACCCAGTTCATACTGGGATATATGCGTATGTATATAAGGAAACGCCAGCTTGAACACCAGGAACAGGGGGGAGGGCTCAGTCTCAGGTCAGGCTCTTCTGGAGCTCAGGCTATCCTGGGCTACAGGGCTTGCAAGAAGCTTCAGGGACTTCCACCCATTCCAGACAGGGTCTTCCTGAAAGGGGTAGAGGGAAGCTGGCTGGCAAAGGAAGAATTACCCTCCAATCCTTCTTCACTTTGGTTCCGTTAATCCATCCATCTATCCATCTAATGTCCACCCACATACCCATCCATTCCCCTCTCTGTCCAGCAGATCCCTCACTGAGTCATTCATCACGTTCCTCATCCCTTCATGTGTTAATATGGACATTCATCCAATTTTTCAGTGTGCTTATCTCTCTGTCCATCCATGTATCAATCCTCTGGTTCAATCCTTTCATTCTTTTTCCTGTTCATCCATCTTTTAGCCAAACAGCCACCCTCTTTTCCATTCTCCTCTCCCCTTATACATCTACCCACCCTCTCATTTATCCTGACCCTGCAACTCACACCCCAGAGATGAACCCTCACCAGTGTCTGAGGACAGGCATTAGCACACACTACCTTTTGTGCTGCTGAGTCAGTGAGGCTCTCTTAACTGCCATCTTCAAGCAAGGCATATCCGTGGACCATACACTTATGAATGTTCACCCATAAGCTGAGTCCCAGCTCCAAGGTGTCCCCCAGTCCCAAGACAGCCAGTAAGACTTCACAATGGGACCAAGATGAGGCTGCAACTTCTTGTTGCTCTCCTGTCTCCTCTTCAGCCTGGCTCACCTGCTTGGTCTGCTTCCTGAGAACTCAGGCCCAAGAAATCCTATTCAACACCCGCAGGTGAGCAGGGGAAAGGGGGGATGGATGGAGAATGGGGACAATGACCACCCTTCATTAGTTTGGCTCTCCCCTTGGTAGCCAAGTCAGATGAACTATCCCTAGACTGGCTTTTGTCAACCCCCCTCATCCCAGACCTTTTGGGGCTCCCCAACTTGCACCATTGTAATCCTTCCCCCATCCTTCTTTTCCAAGTTGCCCTCGCTCTGCTTCTCACTACGGATCCACAGGGCCTTCAGGGGCTGGGTCTCTCACTCTCTGGACACCCCTTTCAGGAAGACCCTGTCTGGAATGGGTGGAAGTCCCTGAAGCTTCTTGCAAGCCCCTGAAGGGCCAGTTCAACAGGGAGAGAAGCAGGGAATGGGACAATGGACAAACAGATGGAACAAAGGAGTGAGAAGAAAGGGAATCTGTGGGACTGCAGCTGACAATGGCCTCTCACTCTCAGGTCCAAGTTGCTCTGCCAGAAGCTCATGGAGAAGACGGGTGTTCTGTTTCTCTGCGTTTTTGGTGAGTCTACAGGGCCCTGCCCTAGTGGAGGCATCCCTGGGCTCTGCCCCTCCTGGGAGGGGGAGGCCAGGGCACTAGCATAGACAAGACCCTCTGCAAGACTCTATACCAGTTACCTGGCTCGCTAATTGGCGTTGCTACATGGGTTAAATGAAATGAACAGTGGCAGAAGAACAGTTGCTTTGAAAACTTTTATTGAGAATGACAAATAGGAGCTAGAGAATGCTCAGTGGTTAAAAGTGCGTGCTACTCTTCCAGAGGACCTGAGATTGATTCTCAGCACCCAATGATCTGTAACTCCAGCCCCAAGGGGATCCAATGTCTCTGGCCTCCATAGGCACCTGCACTCATAAGTACATACCCACCCACACACATAATTTTAAGAAAAAAAAGACCAGCAAATAGGCTCTAAAGGCTTTAAAATAATATATCCAAGCCATCCTGGAGCTCATAAAATGCAGAAAAGACCACTTGATTTTCTCTTTGCCTATTATGCCTAAGCAAGCCTGGGACAAGAGGATGGACGGAGATGCACATGGTTTAGTTTATGTGGCACATTTCATAGATGACATTGTTTGGAACATGAAGCAAGCATCACAGTTATTCCCATTTTACAGAGGAAGGCACAGAGCTAGGAGAGATTAAGTAACTTCTCCCAGAGTTACACAAACCTAAACTCCAATGCCTTACTCCAGAAACAGGACTTTCATGCTTCCCTGTTAAATGACTCACTCTTGTTCGCCTGGCCCACAGGCTTCTGGATGTTGTCCATGCACTTACCATCAAAAATGGAAGTCTGGCAGGTGAGTGTGAACCCACTCCAGGCCCCATGGCTGACCAATCTCACCTCAACCAGTCAACATTCCCTCTGAAGCACCCTTTACCCTTATCAAACCTGGATACTGGTCAGCTCCGGACTTATCTGATGCAAATTGTTGCCTCTCTCATGCTACTTACCTGGATCCCCTCTCTCCTGCACATGTGACACTCAAAGACCGGATGCAATCATCCCTCCAGCAGAATTCAGCCCCAGCAGTGGTCCATCTCCCTTTCTCAAGATCCCCATCTAAAGTATGGCTGTGAAGCAAAGACACATTGCTCTCTCTATACTCTCTGCTTCAGTGAGTTGTGAGACCCATTTGTTTTGGGTTTATGGGGATGAAGGAAGAGGAAATCGGTGGCCAGAGCTTCCTGCTGGAGGAATTCTCAGAGGCCAGTAGAGAATGGAGATCAGAGATATCTATCTCTCCTCTTCCCCTCTTCCTCCTGTGAGCCCTTTCATATCCTTCAAGTTCCATCTGAAAGATCACCACCTCCAGAAACACCCAAGCAGAGACGCATGTTTCCTTTTTCCTCCTTCAGTTTTCTGTAATCATGACTGTCTCTCCAACCGTACTGACAACCCCTTGAAGGAATCAGATCTGATTTATCCAACCAATGTCCAGATCCGTGCCAAACACAGGGGGCTGCACTGTCAATATTGGATGGTGCTCATCAGATGGAAGTGTGAATAGAAGGAGGATGGATGGATGGATAGATGATGAATGGATGGATAGATGGATGGACCAATGGATGGATGGATAGTTTGGATGGATGTTGGTTGTAAAAGAGGTAAGAATAAAGGAATCATGGAAGGATATGTGGATAAGAGAATGAATGAATGAATGAATGAATGAATGAATGAAAAAGTGGTTTATGGAAGATTGAAGGATGGTGGTAGGGAGGTGGGGATTGAATGGAAGTAGATGGATAAGGGAGGCTGAGAAGACAGAAGAGTAAATGTGGATGGGGTAAGAAGGGATGGAAAAAGGAGAAAAACTTGGAATTTGGGATTTGGATACATGGTAGGAGAGTGGATGGATAGAAGACTAAACATGAAGGTGGGTGAATGAATGGATTAATTGTGAGAGAATGCATAGATGAAACTCTGTCAAGCCCAGATTAAGTCATCTGACAGAGACCCTTGCTTTCTTCAACACTCTGCCAGGATGACAGTATAAATAGTCCACTACAGAGCCTAAGGTAAGAGGAAACTACCTACTAGTCATATTTTCACCTCCCATAAATCCTACCTGTCTGACCTTATGCAAGTCGCCTCATATCTCTGAGCCTTTGACTCGTGTTTGTGAGATTAGACATAGTATTCATGTTGTTCTAGTTAAATAGGCATCAAAACCAATGTGAAGTGTCTTGAATAGTTCCTGGCTCAGAGTCAGTTCACAGTAAATGGTAGCTGAGAAGTTTTAACTAACAAGTCACCACCTGGTGACAGCATTCTTACAAAATACTCATGGCTATTTGGAAGGCTTGAGCTGGACCTAAGGAGCAAAAGGAAGGGAAGGAGCAATGTTTTAGGAATAAGAACATGAGAGTAGATGAGGGGTGGACTCAAGAGAGGGGAAGGATTTGAAGGTAGTTCTTTGAAGGATGAATTTAAAGGAAGCAATAGCAGCATTACAAAGCAGTCAGGTCTTGTTTTCCCTCCTTGTTGATAAGGATGTACCAGGAGATGGTACGACATCACACAGGGGAAATCCAGGACCTCCGAGGTAGCATGAACCAGCTCTTTGCCAAACTCCGGGAGATGGAAGCAATGTCCGATGAGGTGAGATGCTTTGGCCCTTAACCACCCAATGTCTTTGTTGATACCCTATTTCTTGTATCCCAAGTCATCTCCCTTGGTTTTATCCCTCATTTTGATGCAGCATATCTCTACCCAATAACTTCCTTCAAAAGAGTAAAAGAAGAGGAATACTTTTTTATTTTGGTTTCCTACTTTTGTTAGTTTATTAAAATTCTACTCAATTAACATACGACTTTTATAGTCAGTAAGATACACAAGGGAATAAATATATCTTTTTATCATTACTTTTTTAAGTTATTAACTTC